GACTCAATGATGTTGGAACCTTTGAGCTGAAGGAACAGTATCTGGAAGATATTGATCCTTACATTGCTCATTATAGCAAAAATCAAAGAGAGGAATCTGAAAATACTTACAAAGCTTGGGTAGCAAAGAAGACAGGCAGACCACCTGCCGAAATTGTCTTTGAGCCTAAACTACGCTCCATTGAGTCCGGGGCATTCTCAGATCTCGCGGCTTTCACTCGAACAGGCATCTTTGCTCAAATAATCTATTATGCTCTTCTTTATCCTTTGATGGCGGATAAGCTTACGCCTACTGTACCTGTAACACGCGTAGAGGCATTTTTGCACGTAGTACTGCATCTAGTCCTTATTGCCGTATCGGAAGATAGGACAGATGAGGACGAGATGTCAGAGGAGTCTCTTGAGTCGTTTGTCTACATTGCGCTGACAAGCAATGCACGAAGCAATTTCTCGCCAAGTTCTCCAGCCTCGAAGACAATTGTTGCTATTCTAGAGATGCTGTCGCAAAAGGAGGAATTCAAAACTTGTCACCCAAAGATTACTCTCGTGCTGAAGAGAATGAAGCAAAAGCGACCCAGAAATTTTGAGACTGCCTTTTCGCGATTAGGTGTTCCAGTCGATAGGATTTCAACGGCTTCGCCTGCGAATAACAATGCCCTTGAAGATAAGGAGAAGAAGAAGCAAGCTGCATTAGAACGTCAAAAGAGAGTCATGGCACAGTTTCAACAACAGCAAAAGAATTTCCTCGACAATCAAGGAGATATTGATTGGGGCGAAGATGATATCAGTGATTCGGATATGGAATCTGAAGGCGAGAGTTCAAAGAATTATTATCAATACCCCTCGGGAACATGTATTCTTTGTCAGGAAGAAACTAAGGATGGTCGACTCTACGGAACCTTTGCATTGATGACTACCAGCTCGGTCTTGCGGCAAACTGATATGTCCGATGCAGACTTTGTTCGAGAAGCTGCTAATGTCCCTTCGAATTTAGATAAGTCTGCAGAAGATATTCGGCCATTTGGTGTTTCGGGTGAGAATAAGGAGCAAGTTCACAAAGTTACTTCTAGTGGGGTAGATATTGTCACAGAACGTTCGTTCATCGGAAAAGGATTTCCATCCAATTTTACTAGACCTGGTCCAGTGTCTGTCGGATGTGGACACATCATGCATTACAAATGTTTTGAAGTTTACTATGAAGCTTCAAACAGACGACATCAACATCAGATTGCTCGACATCATCCTGAGAAGCTTGAGTTGAATGAATTTGTTTGCCCGCTATGCAAAGCCTTAGGAAACTCGTTCTTGCCGATAATTTGGTCTCCAAAGGAAGAGATCCAAGATCAAGCCCTCAAGCCAACGATCAGTTTTGATGATTTTATCGAAAAGTTTGCTGGTGCCTCTCAGCAGCCTAGGACAGAGAAGATCAACCAAATCGGTAGCGCTCATAATTATGACAACAAATCCGACTTTCCCGCAAGCAGAAGAACCCAACAATTCTTCAAGAAGCACAATGATGATACCATGGCCAGCCCTCTGGTAGCCAAAATGCCAGAACTATTAATGGACGCCTGGGATCCCCCATCACCAAGTCATTGGTCGCCATTCACACCAACCAATATACGGGCTGCTCTTCCAGCAGATATCGCAAGTGCCATTTGGTCTGAAAATTCATTTCCTCTTCCAAACGATAGATCATCGAACGCACCCTCTTCTGTACGGGAGTTGACCGACATATATCGAAGGCTAAGAGACACAATGACCAAAAATAAATTGGAGAGTAGCCACAAGGACAGCCTCGCACAACATGAAGAGAGAGACTTTTGTTCCAGCGACGTACTAGCTAAGGCCCTCGGATTCTCTATATCTGCCGTTGAGATTCAGCAGCGCGGTGTTGCAACGCCACCGGGGCAAACATTCCTAGAAAGTATTCCACAACAAGCTCTTGTTCACCTTAGGATATTGTCTGAGACGGCTCTCTCCTACGTTACAGTGGGAGGGCTCAAGCTTGCAGGAGACAATCGAGTTGCTAGAGAATATAGTAAAGATTACGAATTACAATATTCACAAATGTTCGGAAAGAACGCATATTCCACACCTAGCGACCTTCTGCCACGTCCCGACTCCTTACTTTCTCAAGATACATTTGTCTTCCTGGCCAAAGCTTCCTTGTGTCTTGCGCCTGTTGAAGATATCGATATCATTCATCTTGTTCGTCTTTGCTATATTGCGGAGATGACCAAGGTGGTTCTCCAATTACAAAGACACATCGATAAGTCTAGATGGTTCGATATGATTCAAACGTATCAACAGGAAGGAGTCGACAACTTTGGAGATTTTTGTTTCCACGTTTTAATATTCGACGACATTGCCTTACATACTCGTGACTCTGCAAGTTTGGGCATTTTTGATACGCTAAAAGATTGTCGCGCATTTGTAGAAAAATATGCACTTGTATATCTGAGAAAGGTCATGATTCTTTTGAACGTTCGCTATGGCATCATCTTCCAAAATTACACGACATCCAATTCGGACTCAAAGGAGCTCGATCGCCTTATTGAAGCACTCTTTTTGCCAACTTTTAGTGAGATATTTTCCAGTTTTGCCGAGGAAGAAGGAACCCTTCCATCTTTAGTCACTCGCTGGATTCGACATGCGAACTCATTGAATGATGAGCTTGTTTCAGCTGCTACCGAGGTTACGAGGAACACAATGGAAAATGATATAAATATAATGGATGTAGCCGCTCCTCGTCTACCAGATGTATTCAAGGATTTCTATACACAGGCCTTTGAACGCAACATAGAAGCTGTAGAGAAGAGAGCTCGTGTCCACGGTTTCAATAACTCATTATGTCCTAGTCATCCTACAATCTTTGAACTCATTGGTCTGCCTAAAAATTACGATACACTGATGGAGGAAACAATGAAGAGGCGCTGTCCTAATAGTAAGAGAGATATTCAAGATCCCATGCTGTGTCTTTTCTGTGGAGAAATCTTCTGCGGTCAGAGTATCTGTTGTTCAAGGGATGGACCGGAGAAACCTGGTGGAGGACCAAGAGATAAAATTGGTGGCGGGCAACAGCATATGCTTAAGTATGTCCTCTTCCCCCTCTTTCTCCTCGCAGTTTCCTTACTCTCTCCTTCCCCTCATGTACTTCCATTCGTATCTGTAACTAACCTTCCACTTCAGATGTCAAAAGAACACAGCTCTCTTCCTAAATATCCGTAAATGCTGCATCTTCTACCTCTACCGCACAAGTGGTTCATGGATGGTAGCTCCATATATCGATAAATACGGAGAAGTTGATCCGGGACTCAGACATAGTCGCCAATTGTTCTTGAATCAAAAGAGATATGATGCATTACTTAGGACGGTCTGGTTGGGTCATGGAGTTCCAAGTGTGATTAGTAGAAAGCTGGAAATGGATATCAACAATGGGGGATGGGAGACTATTTAAGACCGAGCGATGTGTTATAGAGGGGGTATTGGTGAAGAGAGAAAGATGGCGGAGGATAAGGGCAAAAGTCATATACATCTCACTCGCAGGCGTTATCAGGACATGATTTCTGGAGGGGGAGGGGTGCATAAGGAGTGCTCCGCTTAGGTCTATTTTTCTTTTATACTTTCCTTCTTACAAACTAAACTATATCAGTATAGTTTGAAACGAAATGGAATGAAAGGTTTGTGAATGGAAGAAAGCGATGGTGGAGTATATGCATACATGTATGTTTCTAGATAGATGAAACATTTTATTTATTTGGTTTGATTTATTTTGTTGGTTGTGTGATTATTGATGCTGTGTTGTGAGGGTGAGAGGGCGTGGGTGAGATTGAGAAGAGAAGTTTGACAGGTAGGGGATAATGTGAACGTTGAAAGTATGAAGACGAGACGTGGACTTGGGTGTGGATGGATTGAGATTGATGGAGACAATGTAGATTGATGGGTATGGATTGATGGATATGGATTGAGATGTAGATTGACAGTAACCGATGCACTGACATTTTTACTATGTTTTTCCGATGCGCAGATGATGTGGAGATGATGCGTAGTTGTGAGTGGTATAGGTGAGTGGATTGTAAGTAGAAGGAGGACGAGATGAAATGCAGCTTATAAAAGATGAAGAACAAAGCAGGAGAAGAATGGAGAGTAAACACCAGAATCGGAATCGGAGGGAGTGAGTTGGTGGGTGTTACATAGAGGTGTGGAGAAGTGGAATGGATATGAATAGGTATGGATTGTAGGTACAGATGCACTGGTTTTTTTTTACGCGGTGATAGTGTGATACTGTGGTGATGATATGTGGTTGTGAGTGGGTGGGTTTTAGAGGTACTTTTTTTTTGAGAGGGGGGATTGGGTGTATCCTGTTTCTTTATGCTTCCTTTCTTTGGGAGTAGGAGAGGGAATTGAGAAGTATACTTCAGGAGGTTTGTATGTGCGCAGGGGCTTGTGAGTGAGTGGGTTTTAACGTTAATTTATCTTCTTTTTTGGGGTGTAACTTGGGGATTGTGTAAATGAAGGTTTGTGAGATGCAAAGATATTACATTTTAATAAATCCTATTTTTTTGATTTCTTTATCTTTATTCTAATTTCAATCTCTAAGTACAGATGTGCATGAATCTCCATGAATATGGAAGTGAATCGAATCTTACAAAGAAAATGAGAGGATTAGCTGCAATGGTGCGAGTGCACATGAAGAAGAGAAGTTCAAGCGAAGAGTAGATGCCGAGTGTGTTGTACGTAAATGTGTATGTGTGTACGAATGGAGTTGTGATGAGGAGTAGAGGAGTTGGGTGTGGGAGTTAGATTTGAGCGTGCTGGACTGTGCAGCGGAAGAGAGGGATGTGGAAGTGTTTGAGAGGGTGGGAGAGGGTGGAAGGAGGTCTGCTGATGGGGGGTTTGTTAGCGGAGATTGGAGGGATAGTGGGAGGTTTACTCACTCCTACTTCTCCTCAAGACCTAAGTAGTTCTCTACTGACTCGTGATTCCCCCCATCCATTTTTATAAGTCATCACTACCATCTTTGGACATTGCCATAGGAATCACCCAACCCATCTTGGAAGCTCCCTCCATAGCCTCAATCTTCTGCTCGCGTTCAATCACGAGAAGCTCACGATTAGTAAACTCCCAGTTAAGCTTTTCATCCTTTTTCTGCAGACGTTCTTCGGTATATCGCAAGTTTGCTTCGTAGAGTTTGAGTCTATCTTTATCATGCTTGATGGTGGCATTTTCGGATCTTACAGCTTCTTCGCGCTGGCTAATTGCATCTTCTGAAGCTTTAACAGCAGATTCTCGAAGATCGAGTGCAGCTTCAATGGCTTTGACAGCAGCTTCTCTAGCTAGCAAAGTCTGCTCAACACCCTCCAACTTCTTGCCTCGTGTCTCGACAAGACATTCACGACGGGTGACGTGCGCTTCTCGTGCTCTCATTGCGCTCCTGCCCAGTACTACCAACTCTTCGCGTTCATGAAGGCTGTAGCTGCGAGTTTTCAATGCTTCATTTCGCTGTGAAGCTTTCAATGCTTGAAATTCTTCATCGATCTCGAGACTATGCATTCGATCTTGAAGAGTTTTGTCCAGCGCATTTGCGATATCCTCGCGTTCAGCAACGGCGGTTTCCCTAGCCTCAAATCCATCCTCTTTCTTTCGCATAGCCGCAAAGAGCTGACCATAATAAGCGTATCGAGATCTGTGATCCGTTTCTCTCAGCTTCATGATGGATTCTCTCTCCCTAAGTACTGAAAGTCGAATGGCATAGCTGTGTTCTAGTTCTCGAAGATTCAATCTACGAGATATCAGATGAGATTTTTGGTCTTGTGAGGCTTTCGCAGAATGTGGAATGGTGACTGCTAGTAACAATCCAGCTTCAGAACTTTCGCCTTTTGCCACTTGCAATTTTTGGTTGTGAGCTGTATCGCCATTACAATCTACCAAGCAGCGCATCGACTTCTCGTCGTTGTTGACTGCGGTGTTCAAGGTGCTCTGTGTTTCCGTGGCAACATTGACAGTGTCGGGAAATTCGAATGATTTTCTTAGTATCTTTGTTAGCCTCGCCCTGTTTTGTGACAGACAACTCCAACTGACCTGATAGATCTCTTTGATTTCAAGAGATTATGGACACTTTTGACAGGGACATACTTAAGCTTTCCACTACCGTCACTGAATAGGACCACGCTCTTATTGTATGTTTACCCCATCAACACAAGACCTCTTTGCACAACCAAAGAACACTTCATAGGTTCAAATCCGGGATTTTGTTCATGATTATCGAGTAATGTGATGAGACGTTGAACAGCTGGACTTTCTTGCAGTCGAAAATCTTTGAGCTTCAAAATATGAGTGAAGTAAAGGAGGTCTCGAACGATGACGTATCCTCCAGGTGTCTTCCACAGGTGCTCTAATGCGAAAACCTGTTCACTGCCGCGAAAATTGGCTGATTTCACCCGGACGAAAGTGACATCTCTGCTTTCGAGACCGAAGCGAAAGATCAATGATGGTTCAGGTGATGCTAGCAAGAGAGGTTTGATTTTCTCAGACTGGTGGATAGATGAGTCCTTAAGGAAGAATAAGCCGTGGACGAGATGGATTTTGATCATGTACAGTAATTTTTTGACTTCATTCTCGAAGGCTGGATTCTGGTCAGCGAGTGGACACATCTGGGCGCTTGTCATAGTTTGCTCTCTTTGTAAAAAAATTGAGGGCGATGAGAGGTTGCAGCTGCTCAACGTGGAAAAGTTTTAAAATATTTTGTGACTCAAGCCTGAAGCCTCTGAGAACGCTAGTGGAGTGATGTAGACAATGGAAGCGATGGCACGTGATTCGATATCCATCAAGGTGAAACTTTGTGTCAGTCTTTTTTTTGTTTTTACTGTTCACAACTCTGGCCTTTGTTCGATTTGCTTATTTCTGGAGGGAGTATTGCGATGGTATTAACATCTAATAGATACGGAAAGGATTATGGGTGGGTGTTTCAGCTGATACTTTGTCGGTGATAGAATATGAAAAAGAAATGGCTCGAGGGTGATGGGTAAGCTGTTGGAGTCTCGTCGCCGTGGCTATGAGTGCATGTCTTAGGATACAATTTTCTTAGTCTATCAATTTTAGGTCATAAATCTCTGCATGAGTTTCACAAGTCTACATTGTAAAGCGGGCAGTCAAGTATTGAAACGGGTGTCATATATTTAGACAACTATAATAGAATATTACTTATAATTTTAAAATCATTACTCGGCAGATACCGAACGAGAAAACTTCTGACACGTTGATCGAAAACTGGAGTATAAAGACACATCTATCTCGCCATTGACAACTGAATATCAAACTGTCCTCTCACAGCATTCCTCCTGTGAAGAGCAGATAAACTTTCATCAAGGTGCCATGATATTGTTACCATTACCGAAAACGTTCTGTGTGCTCGTATCGCTGGTAATGAAGTGAAGATCAAGATAAATCAAAATCAAAACCGAATCCTGTTTCTCTCTCAGAATCCCATGCTCGTGGCTAGAATGTGAGTATCAATAATCAGCTGTGTATCTTCCAAATATTAAAGTGATGAGAGCTTTCTGACTCCTGTTGACTTACCGAGAGTATTAATAATCGTCATACTGGTAAGTATCAAATTGTTCATAGTCACCTTGAAAGCCTCGCTCCATGGCTGCCTCTCTGGCCTCCAAAATCTCCCTATCTGCATCAAGCTGATCGAGGAGTCGGATTTCTGCTTCTGCGCGAGCTGCAAGCTCAGTCTCACGTTCATTGAGAAGTTCGTCACGCCTGGTCAAGCTGCGGCTGAGCGTGTCCAGTTCCTCCGTACGATCACGCGCGAGGTTTCCTCGCTCCTGAACTTGGGCCTCAAGCTTTTCAGTCGATTCCCCTCTCTCATTCAAGAAAATTCCACGCTTCTCTATAGCCAGTTGAAAGCGAGCAAGAGCAATTTCTCTAGCGTTGGCCTCTGCGTGGCGGACTTTCAGAGCTTTGTCGTAGCCTGCTAACTTGACCTCCGTAGCTTCAAACTCTTCGATGCCGTCATTGGATGTCTTTGGAAATTTAATTTGGATCAAGGAATTCTTCTTGGCGGTCATTGGTGAAGGATGAAGATTCGAAGATGTCATTTCAGCCAATTCAATGAGTTTTCCTTCTAGTCCCTTGAATATATCCGATAAGGCAGCTTCAAGGTGTGCAATATCTATTTTCTCCAAGCCTCGAAGGTCTGCGAGTAAAATATCACGTTCCTTAAGATTTCTTTCTTGCTCTGCAATGTCGCGCTCACGGTTATCCATTTCCTGCTCGCGCTGTTTGAGGGAAGCTTCACGCTCACTGGGAGAAAGAGCAGTCTCGAAACCTCGATCTTCATCAATTGCTGATGTTCCAGCTGAAGTGTGTATGAATTGTGCGACTGTGGATTGTGAAGCTGCGTCAAAAATACTGTGTTAATATAATAAGTTACCTTCATTTGAAAGTCATGAAAAGGGGAGAATGGGACTCACCAATTATCTTGCTCAGTATCCGAGTCTTTTTCCTGAAAGCCTATGACAGATATCTTATTCTCATCAGATCGTGATGGAATGGACATAGCTCTCTCCAATTTTGTGAGACCCCTGCCATCGATGTAAAAGCATGAGACTAAATTCTTGGCGAATCCATCATGAGTTGTGAACATAACAAGACAATCATGCGTTACAGTGATGTCGCACTTCATCTTCTCAACAAACAGTTCTTTTTTATCACTCCCCAAGAATGTTATGCGCCGACGATTCACTGGGGTTCCTTCGTTGCCCTCGATAAATCTGAGCTCTTCGAGCTTTTCGAAAGTGAAGGAGTCGTCTACCTGAAGGAAGCCAGAGGTATATTTTCATAAATGAGAGATCAGTATCTTGCCTTCAGAGGAGATCTCTGCGCATTTCAAGGAATGAAATGTGGCTGCCGCGCCACTTGGACCATATCGGAAAACCAGAGAAGGAGCAGGTGTTGTGAGCAGAAGGGACTTGAACTTTTCATGTATGAAAGTGATATCTCTGATTGATTCCTGGGTGGATTTTGGGTGAAGTACAATTTGGCCAATGATTTGTTGCATCAAAGATTCACCATCTTCAAGACTTGTATTCAAGTCAAGAGGAAGGGGATTGGCAGAGCACGTCTTGAATAGTTGATCCATGGCTGCTGATCCAATCAAAGATTTGTATGTAAAGGTTTTGTTTTGGGATTGAGTAGGAGGAGGTCTGGGGACTGTGGATACTTAAGTTTTAGATAACCGATTTCCCTATAGTGGCAGAATCCGTGGTTGATGAAGTGGTCACTTTGTTACTGTAATAAAATCTTTTATACTTTCATTTATACATTGAATAAATCGTTTTTAGTAGATTGATTTGAGTAACTTTATTTTCGTATTCAAGGAAGCTTATTCTAATCAATAGGGTCTTGGTGAATTTCTTGAATTTGGAAAGCTAGTTTTAAGTTTTAGTGTAAAGCAATTATTTTCTGAAATGAAAAAGTTTATTTGTATTAGAATCAAATCCTATTCCTGTTTTTATAGTATATTCTGTATTGTATGGTATAATAGTAAAGCTTCTGATTGAAGAATGAACTGAAAGTGAAGTAATGCGGTTGATGAACAGACCCCCCTTTAAACTTTCGGCTAATACCTCTTACTTACTAGCTTTTATGCTTACTTCCTCCTTCTTTGTTCTTATTTACCTCTTTGATATTCTTCTAGTTCTTATATATATACCCTTCCAACTACCTTTTCTATAACTCTAACATTCAAAGATTCTGAAACCTCTAAGGCTTTTCATAGCCCTTATTTTCTTTTTTTCTATTAAAATTTAATAATACATGAGTTGCAAAAAGTACTAATATTATTTGTCACTAACAAAACACTCACTTCATCAATAACAAATAAAACATTAATATTGTAACGTACAAAATGGAAATTTGTATGAGGATTTATATTGAATTTCTTTTCATTCAAAGTATTAATTTTGCTACCACAGGGTTTTGGAATCAGCCGAAAGTGAATTATAGAGATTCCAAGTTGAAACTTGATTTGACCTGAGAGAAGCTCAGACTTCACTGGTATATTTCGGAGCATAGCTGAAGAAACTTATGCATTGGATTTTACGAAACTTTTGTGTAGTGTGTATCAGTTATTTGTATTTTCAAGACTTAGGAATCCATTCGTATATAATGATGTGATACCATTTATAGGGTTAATTGTATAAAGAATTGAAAAAAAAACAAAGAAAAAGAAATAAGAAAACAAATAATTTCGAACTATTATATGCTTCGAAATAGGCGAGATCCCTTGCCCCCAATAAAGCATCTCTAGGATGCTGTATTCATATCAAGTATTGCCACGGCAGCGCATTCACTCATTAAGCTATAGTCCCGTGATCTCAGACGTTTAACCGTACTAGCTAAGAATTTGGTCATATAAACTCATTAACCTTATCTTGAATCCTACATCCTCTTTGTACCCGCAACAATTCTTGTAATACAACTTGAAAACACTTTCAAAGACAAACTATTGCAAAAAAAGTACACCGAAACAAAGCGAAACAATCATGGCTAGTCAGCCACCTCCTCTCAACGAAATGGAGGAAACTTCAAAGACTGTAACTTACAAAGACTCTATGTCTCCACAAGAAATCGCCGAGATGCTTCGACAACATGATCTTCAGACAAGATTACATCCCGCCCTAGTTCAGAATTTCAATATGATGAAACTCAATAACAGCAATCTCCATGGCAAAGACTCTCAAAACATTGCTTCAATTTCATCCCGATTTTCTGCCAACTCTTACCAGGATCTATACAATACAGTGATCAAGACCTGCAGCGCTGATTTTACTACTTCAAACATGGTGCAACTCAGCCAACAAGCTCTTCAGGTCAATGAACGTCCCCACACCCCTTTTCAATCGTCAGAGAAGACCCCCAAAGAGATTCACGACCTCCCACAACCTCTAATCGATTTTAACAAACTGCGCAATTCCACTTCATTCTCAAAGTTTCAGAATGATAAGATCCAAGAGCAATCCAAGGCCCCGATGACGCTTGCTCCAGGAGAAATACCACAAAGCTCTAAAAACTTCAAGAAGGCTTGCATTTCCCATCTTCTGAACAATATTGACCTCAATGAGGAGGCTCACAATGACATTAACCAGGAAGCTTCCGACGAGCCATCCTATTCCTCTGTCAACTTTGATCCCCAGCAAAAGATTTATCGGGACATCCAGAAATACCATCCCATCAATCCAACTGGTGGTTATTACAGGTTCATTGAGTTGAACAAAGAATTTCTCGATGTCAATACTACTTCATTCAATCAATCTGAACTGCAGGTCCCACAACATGAGCAAGAACACTCAGATATGATGTGGCTTCAGAGAGCATGGTTGACAGCGACTGAAGCTCTTTCTGCTGGAAAAGTTTGGAAACGCGTGCAGAGTGAGCAAAAGGCTGCTTTCGACAGAGCCATTGTATATCGTGCTCAGCATAAAGAGTTAAATTCCAGCATCTTACGACTTCAAATCGACAAGTTTACAGCTCGTATATTATTTATTATCGAGGGGTTGCAAGCTCCTGCCTGTTCGCCGACCATTGTAGACTTGAAGAATATTTTAAGAGGATCACAATCTTTCAACACTCTATCATATGAGAAATGCAATATGTTGATGGCAGCCCAGCGACACCACAATAAGCACGAGCTTATCGATAGCCCAGAAAGTGAGACGTTGCGAAGCGCCCCCGAGAAGGTCAGATCCATTCAAAGCACTCAACCAGATACCTCTAATCATCGCGAAGAAGATTCTTCATGGAAGGATTCTATGGGCCGAATTACACAACAGCCGATGAAGCATTGCTCCTCTGATCTCGAACCCAAAGGCTTTGAAGGTCTTCATCAAAATCAAGCTACCTTTACTGGTGAGGATTGCAGCCCAGCTTTGCTTTCTGGTGTGCATATGCAAATCAACGCACAATCGGCAGTCGCGGTCAATCCTGATGATATCATCAATGTTGGAAATAATGACATACGTTCCGGAAATGAAGATTCAATTGATGGAAGCCTATACTCCGATGAAAATATGAGAGTTCCAGCATGGAATATTTGCAATGTTCGACAAACCAGACTCGGCACTGTCAGGGGGCACCAGCCTAATGCCAATGTATACCAGGCTGCTAGTGATGATTTTTCGTTTGTAGCCATCTTTCAAGAAAAGCTTGATGCTCTCAAGACTATTGACCAGAAGTGTCAAGACCAAAGAGCTCCACTTATCCAGGGCACAAATATCGATCTCAATAGTGGTGATGCAATTTCCCAAGAAGCTTCAAGAGCTTCCGAGAGAAAGTGGTATCTAGAACGCAAAGCTTATCTTGAGACCCTCCGCGAGAGGTGATATAATTATGAGCAGAACAAGCCCCATGAGATCCGCCAGAATAGGGAAGGGGATGCAAGACGCAACGATGCGACATCCTTGGATTGTAGAGATTTCAAAAAATACAGACATTTGACTTCCCCAGAATTGAATGAAATGAGAGAAGCAAAAAATGAATTTCAAGCTTCTATCGCCGATGCCTATTCCTCTTATCTTGCAGCAAGAAGGGCTAAAGATGATGCTTGTATGAAACTTGAAACAGCGATTGCCGAGAGAAAAGCTCTTTGGATGGAAAACATTCACAAACCTGATAATCCGAGATTCAAAAAAGAGTGTTCCAACGCAGATAAGAACTTTCTTGAATGCCACATGGAACGCAAAAAAAGAGTTAGTACCTTTAATGCAATCAAACACGCTAGTCAACAGAAACACAAAAATAGAGAAGCTTTTGAGAAGAGAATTGAACTTCTTAACCGTTCCTCCGGCGATAATATTACTCAAAAGATTGGACCAGCAAAGAACGACTCGGCTTATGCTACGTTTGCAGCAGACCACCACTCGGCTCGTGTCACTCTTGCACGTCTCGAAGCTCACTATACCGCACAGAGTGCCAAAGCCGAGCTTCAGCCACTTCGTACGATAGATGACGCCTGGACTGATGGTAACTATGGTTTTCTCGAACAATCAAAGCATGATCAGAAACAGCGAAACAACTCCATTTTGTCTAATGATTACATCACTGTCCAAGAACATGCTCAAGGCCTCAGAGGTAATTACGATCAATCGGCATCTCAGCCCTTCCTTTCCCGTCCAGATAACGTACCTGCACATCATGATCCAAAAAAAATTAACCCTAATATTTCTTCATAGCCACCGGCAATCACAGGCCAGTATCCCAATCCAGATTCTAGAAACTATTACTCGGTTAAGAGCACAGATCGCGCTGAGTATATGACTATGTTCAAAGAATGGAAGCCTAATCCAAAGCATCTCGATATCACGAACGCTATGATCCTGGATCGAACAGCTAGAGGACGCCAATTAGCTGGTCAACAGCCAGGAAAATTTGGCGATGCTATGTTTCAACATCTGAGACAATGGGGTTATTCGAGACCAGATGCTCCTATCGACACAGCTTATTCTGCGACTTTGGCAAGCTCTGCGCTTGATCTTTTAGCTGTCAAGGGACAAGGTCAATGTGCTCCGCAGGTTGCAGATAAGGAAGTCGTCATGCTCAACAACGCCAACGATACGTTTACAGAGACGAGCAGAGCTACTAATATCCTTACATCTACCGTAAATGAGCACAATGTCATGGCTAATAAGCTGGTCACCGATACCATCGAAATCACCAAGAAGTTCACTGATATCGATATTGCCACTGTCGATGAACTCACCGATATTGCTGATAAAGCCTTCGTCGAAGCCACAAAGAATGATGGTGCTACTACTTCTCAGCAAACAGTCAACAGCGAGGTCAATTCCAGCAGTGAAACAACCGCCAATGCTGAGATGACCAACATCGAAAATCTCGCTCTTAATGAACTTCTAATTTCTGACACTGATAAATCTGATATCCTCAGCAAAGATATGATGCAAAAGTCACTCATGTTAGATTCTCCTCGGCTCCCCTTTCTACTCCAGTACCCGCCTCTAGCCCTAAACAAGAATTCGATCTTGAATATGATAGCGATCTTCAATCTGATGCATCTTGGGCCATAGCTGGTGATGATGATCATAATGTTGTTGCGGAGGCTAGTGGACTAAAAGAACTTGAGAGTCTTCAAGAAAGCGAGGAAGCTGAAGAATGGCAGATGCTTTAGATCTAGCATTTCTAATATGATATTGCGTGGATTATGGGAGACAGAGGGGTAAAAAGGGAGGTGAATTCATTTCATATGAGATACAATGCAACTCTCATGCAGATTTCGCGAGGGAGTCATGGGGGCGGATAAATTGATAAACACATGGACGGATGGACGGATGAAAAGTGCGGAGGAGCGAAAGCGCTTTGAAGATCTGAGAGTTATACCAATATAAAATGGTAGTAATTCATCAGACAGCAGGGAGGCACAGCATAGCTAAATGAGTCGGGTTTCTTTTTATCACTTCTCTTTTCTTCTAACAGCCGAAACTCTATGACTTCTATGAATTTCCTTACAATGCGAGGTCATGAGCGATTATAGAGAAATAAAGATAAAAGTCGCTGGCAGACCATGTCTTTGGAAAAAGAAACATTTAGGTAGTCAGAGATATATTGAAATGGCAATGAATAATGAATATTTCAAAACCTTTTGATTCTTCTGATGTGTGGGAGTGCTGAAATGTGTTTATTTATGAATGTGAAGATGTGAAGATACTAGTTGACTCCCCCTGTGTTTCTATGGAGCACCAAGATATATAAGAAAAGAGAGCTTAGCTGATGTAACAATGGGGCATCATATCACGGAAACAGATATCCTCAGGAGACGAGCTTCGCAGAACTCTATAAATTGGCTTCGAGAGCGAAGAGAAGGGATATTTGCTTGTACACAATATTTTTGGGGAAACTAAAAACGATACGCTAGTCATGCTCAGCAATACTTGGCTGCGATCTTCGGGGGCTGAACCCATAGTCAATACTGCTTGCAACTCTAACCACCTCATATTCAATTCAAGACTTCATTTGCTCCACGACCGCCCATTAAGCCTTTCCATCCGATTCAAGTCATGCATCCTACATTAGAATCAATGAAGTTCTATTATCCCCAGATTCTGATTGTGAATTGTTCGACTCAACCCTCGATACTTGAAGGTCTATGAACACGTAGGAGAGGTAGATTATACACTTACATAATCAGTTATCAAACCTCACTAATTCCTCATCAAATCCAAACCCCTCCCAAAGCTCCCAGACGAAGACACTTGAATTGCGAAATGTGGAGGAGCATCCTCCTCGTTGATTTTCAGACCGTCGCCAATTTCCCCAGACGAAGGCGCTTTGTCACAACAATGATTGAATTCCTTCTGTTTGATTTCTATATAGTCTTTAGGGCCTTGAAGAGTAGGTACTTGTGTGGAGTTGAGTGGCAACTCTTTCGTGATTTCTGGACCGACAGAAAAGCCCTCAGTTGAAGCTGATGGTATGGCATTACCTGGGATCACCTCTCCCTTGATCTGTGTAGCGCCTCCAGTATCCGGAGACAGAGGGGCCTGAGCAAAATCGCGCGGGTGATACTCGTTCACATTATCTGGGGAGGGAAGGCCAAAGCAGAGACGTTTTTCAATTTGTTGAGCAGGCAAGTTCCCACTCAAGACTCTTTTTGGCGCCAAAGTTACGACTCGCTTCTTGAAAAGAGATTCATATTGCGTCTCTGGCAGAGAATGAAAGAACTGCGGTGGATTTGCAACTTGAGCTACAGGCGAACCAACCGGTGCATTGGCCACAGCGTAAATGTATTTTTTTATGCCTTGTCCTCTGATATGTGAATATGAATCGTCAGAATAACTTTGAACAATGAGGAAATTGTATTTCAAAAAAGGATTAATATGTTGCTCGTAGCTAGGCGGAAACCATCTTAGTTGGCCAGATAGTTTCGTGCCGTCCGGACATGTATATTTCCAAGGTATACTGTCTTTGTCTACCTTCGCTTGCTCTGTTTTGGCAACCATAAGGATTTTGCCAATTCTGTGCTCTGCAACTTGCTGATTGTATTGGTAAGGAACAAATGCTTTATGACTCCAGGATACTGGCTTCAAATCTCTATCGACATAAAAGAGCCATGCATCGGTTTGCAATTTACGGGTCTTCCTATTGATATAGTCAAGAGCAGCAGATACGTATATAACTGTTCGCTCCACGTCTGAGCCTACAGTATGTCGATCAAGTAACACTGGCTGCACCTCCCAAGGTGGTAGATCTGCCAAAACTAGTCCGTATGGAAAGAATATGTCATCAACGTCACCATTTTGCTTTCGAAGTTGGTGGAGCATGAGCAATTCTTTTCGTCGAGACGCATGTTCGAACCATATATCACTGAAAGGAGAATCCATAATTGATCAGGAAGATGAATTTGTATCGTATGATAATGTGTAATTCATGAAGGTTGAAGATTGAGGAAGAGCACATGATGAAATGATTTTATCATGAATCGTAGCATTTTTGAAGCAAGCGCGAAAGAGTGATGCAATAAATAGAAAGAGCTACCAAACCAGAGGTAGTTGAAAACATGTAATAGAAACTATAGATGTTTTAAAGGCATGAACGTACTTGCAATGTCAAAACCATTCAAGAAATTGACCTCAATTAAACCTATGATAGCTTGATGAAGTCGTCCGATATGCACTACTACACCTTTACCATCTGCGTTGACCAAAAATAGTATTATGAAGCCGCAGAGAACCTTAAACAACAGAATGAATATAACATAACTCTGTTTCAAGAATGGTTGTAACGGGTCAGGTCAAACATACCGAATAATTGTTGAAGAAAATTGTCACGGAACTAACACCTACTCACGAAGCTTGCTTCAAAAACTTCCGAATTACTCACCTCCTCCACACAGAATACAGACGAGGAAATCAGAGGAACACTCAAATACAATTAAAACTCACACAACTAACAAGAGAACTTACATTTTACTCCTGATCGTTTTTCCAGTAATGAAAGTACCACAGGAATGACAAGAAATATAAATTTCTGGACCAACCTTCCCATTCAATCTCCGGTTCGCGAGATCACGATTATTTTATATATCGCCGTCTGTATGTGATGAAATTAGACAAATTATCTACTAAATTGGCTGTATATTTCCGTCGTAGTTGTTTGTGCACACCATAGTAATGAATCTCACCACCAAAGTGAATCAAGACCGCATAGGGTGAGATGCGATTTGTCCGATCTGGCAAATGCGCATAAATGATAAACGACCAGACTAGTAGTCTCCGAAGAATCATTCGACGAGATTCAGAAAAAGAGTGAATAAAAAATTTGTATGTGGAAAATTTAGTATCACCTGGGCTTACTTTTCTGCTAGATCGCTCAGTCAGTATATGTTGAAAAGGCAGTGATACAAATTCACACATTGTTGACTCATCATCGGGTACTTTCTGAATATATAAATATGAAGTGATGACATCAAATGGAGACTTCCATATCGTATATGGTATATTTAGTAAACAAGATTCCAGCATGATATTGGATAGAAGGACGAAGGGGAAGTGGAATGCAAATTGGTTAACAAGATGATAAAAACAAAGGAAGACCTCGCATACTTCGACTGACCGGATAATTTGCAAGTAGCTGATATTTCTACGAAGTGAATCGAGAGTAGATTGGCTGTAACAATACAGCTCATTTTAATTTTAGCTGGTGTATAATGAGCGGGTCCCTCGGTTAAAGACAACTGGGTGCTATTTTATCGGTCATGAGTAACGAAATTGTACTATTAGGGCAATGCATTGTGCCGTATAGGAAAGTTTTTTCTTCTTCAAAGAATCCATTCTTTCATAAAAAGCCAAGAACATCTCTAGTAAGTACTACTTCTTCAGCAGGATGCTGTTTGCACAGGGCATTTACTTTAAAAGACCAACGATTCTTTGAAAGTAAACAACTTTTCACAGACATCCCTTTTCTTCCTACATTTAGCTCAACGATCTCTCACACACACACATACGAGTTGTGCATCAATAAGCAGCGAAAACATTCGGACAATACTCGGTTCGGAAAGATGATTGAGAATTCTCAAATTTATTATGTCCTTGCCTTGGGCATCGTCATACTCTGTGTTAATGCAATTTTACCCCGCAAGTCTGAACACAACTCCATGGAGCCAGTTCGCATTCCCTCAACTATACCATTCATTGGCCATTTTATGGGTCTCTTCCGACACAGAAATGAATACTACAATCTTTTGAGGTAAACTAAACTCCCCCATTGTGTCTTTAGATTGGTTTCAGGTACTAACAAGTCTTTTTTCTTTGAATTCAACAGTCAAAAATGGGATTTTCCAATCTTCACTATCAGCATGCTCCATAAAGACATTCATATCGTTACTTCAGCCGACTTCATTCCATCTCTTCATCGTCAATATAAAGCAGTTTCGCTGTGGGAGTTGGAGGCACAATTCACAGTGAAATTGGCTGGCTTGACTCAAGCTGCGGCAGAAAGGATGCACACTAATATGTCCTCAGAAGAGAATCCAAGTCTAATGCTTCAAGGAATCAAGGTGATTCAGGGTACACTCGCTTCCACGGAGTCCATAAAAAAAATGCTTCGTATCGGAACACTAGCTACGAAGAATCAGCTAGATAATTGGGCAAATCCAGCCGAAAACAATCAAAACAACAAGGTCAACTTATTAGAATGGTTGCAACACCAATTGACCCTTGTCATTACAGAAAGTTTGTATGGGGATAAAAACCCTTACCGGGATCCAGAGGTCGAAGCAGGATTTTGGTAAGTCAACATCACGCAACATCCTCCGCACCAAATGAGTACTAACAGAAACAGGGCTTTCTCTGACGGTTCATTGAGACTTTTACTACCGGATTTTCTATCGAACATCATCGCTACTGAAGCTGTACGCGGTCGAGCTGCAGTCGTAAAGGGATTCCAAGAATACTTCTCGAGCGGCGGACAAACTGGAGGATCAGATCTCATGAAAAATAGATTTGAATTGTTAGTTGATCATTCGGACAGTCGTCACAGCGACCTAGCGAAAAATGAAAACCTGATCAATATTGCGGCCTTGTCCAACACAGTTCCTTCGGCATTTTGGGTAATCTATCATTTGTTTTCTGATGCCAATCTTCTCGAGCAGGTTCGGAACCAAGTAGGAGAATTGACAACATCCGAAGTTTCGGCTCAAGGAGAGACAATTTGTAAGATCGATCTACAGAAGCTGATTCAACTACCAATCCTTTCTTCCTTGATTTTAGAAACTTTGAGATACCGATCAACTGGTACTGGACCCCGTCTCGTTATGGAAGACACGTTTGTCGGCAAAGATCAACAATACCTACTTAGGAAAGATTCCCTGGTAATCATCGCTAACAAGAGACTACACTTTGACAAGCGTGCATGGGGAGAGACGGCAGATTCCTTTCGTTTCGATCGATTCTACGGTAAGACTCCTGCAAGCGCATTCCGCGTCTTTGGAGGAGGAGCGAACAGGTGCCCAGGTCAAGGAATTGTGACAAATATCATTGCAGCTTTCGCAGGAATGTTTGCGATGAGATTTGATATCATTCCGAACGGAAATGATTGGACTGATCCAGGTCAAGATCTCGAAAACATGTCTACTCAGACAGGTCCGCCAAAGAAGGAGTTTATGGTAAATATAGTACCCAGGGAGAGTGCAAAGGATGTAGTATGGAGCTTCGAAATGTAGTTGCTTTCATCTCTTGAAAGGGAGGAAGTAGGATACGGATTGGTAGTGCTTACGGAATTCTTGAACTCATATCCGATATTTTAGATAGCAGAATTCCAAATTCATCATAGAATGAATATAAATCAAGATTCATATACATGTCTGAAGTAGCTGAGATGAGTTCTTGTGTGTACCCAACAGTAATTATGTTATGTTTGAGAAAGATATGCGGGTGGGTTACCTAATACATTTAAGGCGGTGAGATGGGCTGTCAATATTGCCGCATGCCAAAGATACCTACACAGCGACAGCTTCACGACTTGGACATTTTTTGAAATTCGGCAATCCAAACCACAATCGTTATGAATAATCAACAGTTCCGTAAACTCGTGCTAGATACGCCCGCGAGGCAAGCTGGAACGGGAGACAAAAGTTCAAGCATTGGCGCAACTCCCAGACGAGATGGCGCAACACCATCTGCCCTTGGTTCTCGAATGCGAAGTTCCATACCCATGACACCGTAAGGCTCGAACAGTCCATTTGCGTGAAGCTATACAGTGAGTACTAACGGATATACTAGCCGCTCAGTAGGTGGTGTTGATTTCGCACGTCAAGTGGCTGAACAACGAGCTCTTAACAATCCTTCGCAACCAAAGAAATTTCGCTCAGTCGCCGCACCTAAAGGTTCGAAACTCGCAGCTGGATATACCGATCGCACCAAACAGCGCATTGATGAGGATGAAGATGATAAAGCCTCCAGAGTCAAGGCGCTGGAGGAAATGATGAAATTACAACAGATTGACGAGTCTACATTTTTAAAATTGAGGGACGAGATATTGGGTGGTGATGTTCAAAGCACGCATTTAGTAAAAGGGCTGGATTACAAGTTATTGGAGCGGGTTAGGAGGGGTGAAGATGTTTTGAGCGGAAATAATGAAGACGAAGATGATGCTGAAGAGACAGGGAATCTGGACGACGAGTTTGAGAGGTTGGAGGAAAAAGACGTGGTTGCTGTTGAGAAGGAGAAGAGCAGAAAGAAGGGAGAAATGGCACCACCAAGTTTGATTCCGGGGAAGAAAAGGACTAGGGATCAGATTCTGGCAGAGATGAAAGCGGCAAGGCAAGCGGCAAAGGAGGCAGCTCAGCCGTCTTTAGGAGCAAGATTCAAAAAAGTTGGAGCTCCAAAATCTACAAGCAGGATTGAAATGGACGGGAAAGGGCGGGAGGTTCTCATTATTGTTGATGAGAATGGAAACGAGAAGAGGAAAGTTAGGAGACTGCAGGCGGAACCGGAAGTGGAGAAAGGGCATGGTCTACTAATGCCTGATAAGGATGCAATACCATTAGGTATGGAAGTTCCAGAAATACCAAAAGAACCAGAACCAGAAGAAGAAGATATCGATATATTCGACGATGCGGGAGATGATTATGATCCATTAGCTGGGCTTGAAGACGGAGATTCAGAATCAGATGCGGAAGCTGAAGACGGAGAAGTCACGGAAGATAGTCAACGAAAGAAGCCCAAGATTCAAGATTCGCCTCAAGATTCGCCGCAAGATTCGCCGCAAGAGCCAGCTGTGTCCAGAAGTATGGCACCACCTCCACGACCTAACAAACCTAGAAACTACTTTGGCGAATCCGAACCTGAAACAACATACAATGAGACCAAGCCAAAAGCTTTCAGTGATCCGACTATTCTCGCCGCCCTCAAGAAAGCCTCAACTCTTAACCCTATATCCAGAGTTCCCGAAACAGCAGAAGAAGCCGCAAAGGAAGCGCGGCGGAAGAAGATGCTCCAACAGGATGATCGTGATATGGAGGACATGGATATGGGATTCGGAAGTAGTCGATTTGAAGACGAAGCTGATTTTGACGAGACGAAAGTCAAGCTATCAGCGTGGGGTCAGGAAGACGATGATGAAGATGAGAAAGGGGAAGGTAAATCCAAGAGGAAAAGAGGATCGAAGAAGAGGAAGGGGGATTCAAATAGTGCTGCGGATGTCATGAAGATCGTCGAGAGTAGGAAGGCTGGACCATAGTTATTACACAGAAGGCAAATAGATACCCTTATTAATATTTTTACATTTAGCCACAATGTTTATTTCTAATACTTATTACAATACGCCGTGAAATTCCACCAGGCTGTCCATGGGATGCCTACCTAGGCACCATACAAATAAATGTAGATAATGTATTATCACGTGCCTTCGCGAGACGCGCTTTGCTAATCTTTATTTCCTCAACGCGTTCAGAGATCTTCAGCCGTGAGCTTTGAGAACTGAAGATAACCACGTCACTCGCAAGCAACGATGCCTCCTCGAAGATCCGGTCGAAATGCTAATACTGCAACTGCAGATGTTCCAGGAACTGAAGCCTCGTCTGCTGCAGCCAAGAAGGGTGGAAAAGATATAAAAACTGAGAATACCGAGGTTCCAAAGTTAGCTGCGAACAGCATCCGAAGCAAAGCGAAAGAAGATAGTGGCAATTTCGAAGACGGAGACGAAAATGAAGAAGAAAAGAAAGCTATTGATCTCCCGAAAACAGCTAAGACCGTTGATGTGAAGAAGGAGGCTATAGTGGTCACAAACAAAAAAGCTCCCGTGAAACGCAAACTCAAGCAAGAGGAGGACGAAGGCGAAGAGGACAAGGAAGAGAAGAAGGTTACGAAAAAGAGGAAAACAAAAGAAGAAAAAGAAGCTGAAATTATGCCATTGGTAGAACGTACTTTGGTTTCGAGTTTAAAAAAGGCTATACATATCGGCGCTCATGTTAGTGGTGCAGGAGGTAAGTGTATCCTCCTTCACGGCGCGAAGATCTCCTCTAATATATTCATCGTAGGCGTCCAAAATTCAGTCAATAACTCTTTACGTATCGGTGGCAATGCATTCGCTTTGTTTCTCAAATCTCAACGGAAATGGGTCAATCCTCCTTTAGCTTCTGAAGCTCGCGATCAATTCAAGGCTTTATGTAAAGAACAAAAATACGATGCCTCGAAATTCGTTCTTCCACATTGTTCATATCTAGTCAATCTAGCGCAACCAGACGAAGAGAAAGCCAAGCAAGCATACGATTGTTTTCTGGACGATCTGAAAAGGTGTGAAGAGTTAGGCATAAAACTTTACAACTTTCATCCGGGAAGTACAGGTGGCAATCCAAGACCGGAAGCAATCGGGCGTATCGCGACCCAATTGAACAAAGCTCACAAAGCGACAAAGACGGTAATCACACTGTTGGAGAATATGGCAGGAGCTGGAAATGTAATTGGTTCCACATGGGAAGACCTTCGGGACATTATTGCTCTTATTGATGATAAATCCCGAGTTGGTGTTTGTCTAGATACATGTCATACATTTGCTGCAGGATACGATTTGAGATCACCCAAAGCTTTCAAGGAGACTATGGATGGGTTCGACAAGATTGTTGGATTACCATACCTAAAAGCTTTGCATCTCAATGATAGCAAGTCACCGTTAGCATCAAATCGAGATTTACACGCCAACATCGGTACTGGTTTTCTTGGCCTTCGAGCATTCCACAATGTCGTAAACTTTGAACCATTTCAAGATATGCCTATGGTTCTCGAAACACCAACTGAGAAGAAAGATGCGAAGGGAAAGACTGTCGAGGATCCATCTACGTGGGCTAAGGAAATTAAATTACTCGAGGGACTACTCGAAAGAGATCCTGAAAGCAAAGAGTTCAAGGAAGAAGAGCAACGCTTACAGAACTTAGGAGCAGATGAACGGAAGAAGTTTCAGGGCCAAGCTGATAAGAAAAAGCAAGAAGTCCTCAAAAAGGGACAAAAGACTCTTGATTCAATGTTCAAAAAAGGATCAGCAAAAAAGGGCAAGAAAGGCGCGAAGGAGAGCGATGGCGAGGAATCTGAAGATGGTGGCTGTTCACATTGAGCTATCCACGTAACCCGGAGTTTCAGGCCTGGATAAGAGTCTGACTACATAGCGTCTTTTCTACTATATAGTAGTATATTAATATTGGTAATCTACGAAAATTCTTCATTGTTCCCCCAGGGGAGATTTGGTTCGTATATTTCTCTTGCGTGGAACATGACTTCACTGACTATTCGCCACATCTTGTAGTCTGACACTTTTGATTCGTAGTACATTTACAAAGTGGAAAGTTCCCTTTTGCTCCGAACAATCATATTGTCTACAATTCGTTCCTGTCTGGGACGAACAGGACGTTTTCTGCGCAATCATGATTAGTTATTGTTGTGGCTACATGGAGAAACGGCATATATTCATGTTAAATGCATTACCATTGAGAAGTCTTGACGTGAGTCATCGACGGAAGTTTCGTGAAATAGCGATATTGGGCCCTAGAATGAGGCGATGGACGGCATCCCTACAAATCCCTTAGTCTTCTGAGGATGATACCTGACCCAGCTATCATCATATCAATGAGGCATTTGCATAGAACCGTATCTATTCGTTCTACTCAGTCATTTTATTGAAAAAGTCACCTCATGATTCTCGTTAGCCTAATTTTGGTGCCCTGAAATAATATGATAGAGCAAACATATGTAGCGTCGCTAAACTTTTCTTCGGCCAGCCTCGATGTCCAGGTCTTTTTGTCCTACACAAACAATTTCCTACGCATATGCCAAATCTTCACTAGCATAAATAAATCCCATTGGTCCGCTGATGTACACATGGATGAAAATATTTACGGAAAAACTGCTGAATTGGCTAGTAACTACCAATCGTGTCGGCATCTGTCTGTTACATTTTCACCTTTGTATCACGATAATGAGCAAACATTGAGTATAAATCAGAGTCATGGATCTTCATTTCTTATGCAAGAATTCTCCTCAGAATATTCCTATATGCTTGATTTCTGCCTGGGTCTCTTTTGCCCGGGCCCCGGGAGAAGACAAAAAAAGGAAAGATATATCAATCCTGCTTCCCTCGCTTTATCAAGACCTCGTCGTCGATATCCCCTTCCAACACCTGTCTATCCTCTTCCTGCGCCTATAATTCCTCCTCCGGGACAGAACTACGAACAACTTCGTCCTATCAGTCCCATATACTATCCGGAACCGGAACTGGAGTTTGAACCTGAGCCTGAGCTTTTTCACCCTCAAGCGTTTCAGCGAGTTCCTTTTGATTCGGACTTGAGACGTAGATTAGAGCCTGCAGCTCAGCGAATTCATCTTGTCGAGCCAGAGCCGGAAGTTTATTTACCTCTTCCTCGTCCCAGATCACCACCAAGACAACACATACATTTTGTCCAACAGCTTTCACCACCATACATTCCTTCACCTCCACCTTCTCCCACGATTCATCATATTCACGTATTACCTCCTCCTGTCGTCCTTCCTGCACCAAGGCAGCCATCTCCACCACACACCCATATCCACCTTCTTGGTCCTGCTCCTCCTCCCCGAATCGTAACACCGCCAGCTCAAACCCTTGCTTTAGTCCCGCTCCCAAAAGTTAAAAGGAACATGAATTTCCCCGATCACCCTCATCAACATCCCCATCCTTATCATCACCACAATCACAATCACAACCATCGACACCGCTCTCCTTCTTCTTCTCCTTCTCGTTCTCCTTCTCCACACTCCCATGCACACCACCCCCCTCATAGTCACGCCAATAATCAACAAAATAACCAAAGCAATTTGAATAATATCCCTCTAGCAGACCTCATCCGCGACGTTTTACATCGCTATCTACAAATTAATTTGTCGCCTGGAACAGCGATTAGTATAGCGAGATTGATGTCTAACAGTCGAAATCCTAGTTCTAATTTGAGCGTTCAAGCAAATGCTGGAACTGATAGACATCGCTCGCGGAGTCGGTCACAGGGGAGAGGAAGAAGAGGCAGACATAAAAATAATTATTATAATGGAGCAGCGAATGGGAGTGCACTTGGTAGTGGTAGAAGGGGAAATGGAGGAAATGGACAAGCGGCTATGATTACGGACTCGAGTTCGGATTCGGATAATCAGCCAACACAGAAAAGCAAACCTGGTTTGTTAGAAGAGATTAGAAGGTCTGTCTTCCTGCTTTGGTTCCTTTTTCTTTTTTATCCATTTTCTACTCTGAGTTTCTCAGAAACTAACTTATAATTCTTAGAGTAAATATGTGCGCCCAGGTGGCAAATGGTATCATCAGAGCATCTATGCTCAACGCGGAGGTCCATCCTAAGCTAGATGCTAAAGGACGATATCCGAAATATTTTCAATGTCCTTTGAAAGTTAGAGACTTTTTGGCTATGGATAGTTTGTTTCCTCATTTACTTATCCGTTATATCTCTCATAAATTCCAGTATCACATAGCACCTTCCTACCCCCCACAATACCTGAATCTCTGTTATTCCTTTCCACACACATACACCAAACCTCCACCATCACAACCTCATCTCCACGCCCTAAGAAGAAAAATTCTAACTCTCCCCTAGCAAAAACTCTAGACACCCTCCTCACCACCTACGATCTCCCAGTAGCAACGCGTCACCGCTCTACTGATCCAGCAGCCCTCGCAATTTTCATGGCTCATCTCGCGCATAATCAAAATACTCCAAAATATGGAACTAGAAATCTTCCCTGCGACTGCAGAATCTGCGCGCCCGTTCATGAAGATCAAAAGACGGCGAAGAGAGAAGTACTTTTTGAACATCTCTGTGTAGGGGCTCTACATGGTGGGTCGGCGGTGGGGAATTTGTCGGCTCATGGACATTCTCAAGGTAATGGTCAAGGTCAAGGACAGGCGCAAGTGCAATATCATTCAACTCGAGGAGGAGGCGCATTAATAGCCGGAAACGCAGGAGTTGGAGGTGGCCGCGGAGGAGGTGGGAATCAAGGCGCGAACGCAAACGCGAACGCAAATGTAGCAGGTTATCTCATTCTTCCGCAACCGGGTCATGCGATACAAGTGCAGAATGTGCAGGGAGCAGTGCCAAATCGGTTGAATAATAATAATATTGGGCTTCCGCAGCCGAGTCCACATGGGAGTCATTTGCATCATGCGTCGCAGCATTTGAGCGGTGGGAATGGAAATGGGAGTGGCAATGGTGGATTATTGAGACCGCATACCTGAGATTTAAATTTTGTGATTGGAATTTCTTTTCTTTGGCTTTTGTATTGATTCTTGTTTAGGTAATTTATTTGTTCAGGTTTTCATACACATTATTTCATAGATAGGAAGATAAAATATATCCATCATACACAATACACAATACACAACAGCATGGAAATAGATTGATGAGAGGAGAAAAGTGCAAGATTAGGAAACGCCTTGAGGCTTGTCATTATCTAGTTTCATACCCAAGATAATTTTCACTTCGGGACAGTAGTTCATTATGTGGGAAACGTAGTCAGGCTTATCCCAGATCTGTTGGGTGGGGGTTGGTGTTAGTTTCTTATGTTGTTTTGGGTTTTGGGAGGGAAACAAAGTGGATGAATAGGAAAGGAAATAATATGACCGGCAGTACAAAAGCTAATTTTACCATGGAAGTGATGCATAAGAAACAATACATGTTTGCCAGTGGGATTAAAATTAAGAAAAGAAATGACGAGATGACTAACCTGCTCATGGTGTACACCCAGCCATCCGATATGATAACCCAGCGGCGCTTCGTCCCAAACACTTTCCACACTAAAAGTCTTGCTCACTGCTGCATTTGCCATTTTACTTCCTTCCAGCTTGTTCAGTCCGGTACTGAGCCATAGATCTTCAAGTGCTCCATCTCCGGGTTTGCGTCTTTCCTTTTCTAGTAATCGTAATATAGACGATACGCGACGGAGAGAAAGACCACCGTTGCCACCATGAGTAGAGTATGTAGACCAGGGCGCTCCAATATAATCATACTTGATGAAATCGTTCAGAGTAGTTGGTGCTTTGGTGCAAAATATTGAGTCGGGTTGAAAGACTAAGAGGTGTTCGGCAGGAGAAAGAGACTTATAGAGCTCGGGGTCGGTGAACATCTGAGATATAGATTCACGACTTGAGACATCCCAGTGGGATGGGAGAGGAACGAGTGTGAGTTTATTTGAGGCTACTAGTTCTCGCAAGTGGTGGAAACCAAGTAGATAATTGATGGATGTGTTGCTTCCCATGAATTTGAAGGTCCACTCTTGTGGAATGACGCTTGTCATATGTGTGAGCTGAAGAGGTAGATGTGGTAGTGGGCGAGTCTCCACCATAAATGCTAGTTTTGTGGGATCGAGAGTAGAGGTTGGTGAAGCGTATTCGGTTTTTGTAGAAACAGAAATCGATGTACTGGTATGCGTCACCGTATGTTCTATCGTTTCGATCTGGACAATTGTAATAGGCCCGGCGTCGAGGGGTTTGAGTTTCGGTTGAAGTTCGTCATGGTCCAAATGATATGCTAATCTGAAAGACAGGGTCAGACGTAAGTCATAAATTATTGACACAGCTGAGGAAGCTTGTAACGTACCCGTAAACAAGGACAAGACTCAAGAATACACCAACTATTACCATTGGTCTCATTCGATTCCCGAAACTCCATGATGCCAAACCCGTAGACATATTCAACACTTATCAGAAGTCCAATTTCTCTACATATACTCCTTACCCACAAAACCAAATTGAAATCTCGAAAGGAAGGAAGGGAACGCTGCAATACGGCCAAAAGAGAAGAATACAAACGAAAGAAAGTTGACAGAGAAATAGCTACCCCATACTTTGACCTTATATGAACCCACATTACTTTTGATAGTTACTTTTAGAACCCCTACTTACGCGGCTTCACGCTAACGCAAGGAGTATTTATGTGGGATGTGATCAATCCGATGATGAATCAGGATCCATATCAATAAGGCTAGATCCTTTCAAACTTACGAGGGGTTTCCATGTAAGGCTTGAGACAAGAGATATTGATAATTCTTATTGCCAGAGAAGCAGGGTTTGCTTTTGCAGTCTATCATTGCGTACTCGAGTAATTTATTAGCAATTATCTACTCTCCAGTGACCCAATATCAGTCGCTCCTATTCAAGATGAATGTAGTGGTAAATAACCGAGAATATTTGCAGATTTCAGTTGTCTGATGCAACAATCATCTAACCTTCGTACTTTGGGCGAAGTTTGAAAGACCAGGGAAAAAGAATGTTTGGAAAGATCTAGCTCTCGTCGTAAACATGTGTGGGTCAAGGCGTACGTCTGCCAAAGCTTATTTTAGAAACCTGGATGATTTAAGCTTTTGATCTGAGACATCAGAATTTTGTCGGATTATACCCACATTGAGAATGGAGCACGAGAGTCACGTGGTCATTTTGAATTTCCGGCATTGCTTTGAATACGTCTGATCGAGAGACAGTTAATCTAATTCTTCTGATGCCTTTTTCGTAACAACGAACGATAATGTTGAATTGAAGATCGTGTTTTTTTGTGATAATTATGTTTTCAATCCCGACTCTCGAGCTGAAAGGGCCAAACCACTTCGATTTTGAGTCTAAAAACACTATGCATTGTGGTTTATATGAGCGGAATAATATTTTGACCACCAAACGGCTATCATTTGGGATCACATATTTTTCGCCAGAGCTCCGAGCGCCGGTGTTTTCACTCAGTAACCCTCAATGTCTATGTCAATAGCGAACATTTGGGGTCCTTCTCGCCAAGCACCAAGTCTCACACACGACTCAGCATGGCTGTCATCACTCCAACGACTCATATCAATTGGAATGGTGTCAGGATCTTACTATTCTAGACTCGTTCGATAGAGCTGTCAGCTATTCAGAACAAAATCACGAGATTTGTAGTCATCTGAGAATTGCATGATATGTACGAGACAACCAAACGGCTTGCATTTTATCGGCATCCGTCATGCCATTCTCACTAATCACGGCCTCCTTCCAGCTCGAACAATTTAATGAAGGAACGTGAGTGACGTGATTCGATCGTTTGACTGATTAATCACATTCGACAAGTGCTGAAATGTCGTTGAGTCCGACGCCAATAAAATCATGACATATTCAATTGCATTATGATCTGAAAATCCGTGTGTTCTGTCTAGAAAAAGCAACCTACAAAGTCTTTTCGGAAAAGCGATTTCCACACTCCATTTTAGAGCTCGAATACATTGGTATTTATCTTGCCTGGAATCCAATCTCATGATAGCGCATGCCAAATCTCGTGATGAGAGTGCTGACCGCGCTCATTACGACAACGCAGTAAATTCTGTTCGGCAATCTATCAATCTCACCTGTCAAATACGTTTCTATTGTTTTCCTTCTTCCAATGATACGGTTTGTCCTACAGAAGGCCGAGAGCCAAGTATTTATGCTTATGCTGGGTGCTGACTTAGAGCATTCACACCAAACGCCACTCAAAGCCAATCTCGGGGCTGAGTGGCCAAAATCTTCAGAATCATGTTATTTTGAGACGTTCATCTGAGGTTTACGATCTGACATAGTGAGCAGCGGAATGTGACCCTCAATCATCTTCGACCAAACAATTTATCAACAGGCTCCTCATCGCCAATGATCATTGGTTTGATAGGAGATATTGAATCTAGATATGAACACAGCCTTCGGAAAAGTTTCTATGCGAGAGGCTGGTGATGTATTCTGATATCAGCCCTACAATAGCAAGAACATGACTTCAATACTGAAGTCCCGAAAACAACTTCACATAAGTAGACGGAGGTTCTCCATTACATTTTCATTCCTCATCTCATTCTGCCCCTTGTTCAATTTCCTACTTACTTTCATATTTTCAGTTTCTCCTTACCACAATCGTTAGATCCTCTCTCTTGTTTCGATCTTCTAAACTTTCATCTTGTCCTTATTTCCCATCATTTTCCGCAATCTCATTCTCTTTCATTTCATCAATGAAGTTCTCAAGCATTTCCACCGTGAGTAGTCTTTTGACTCTTGCTTCTGCTCAGCTTTATACCGAAACCATCCCAGTTGTGTGTTCTGGCGCTCCCCCTTCCACTGTCACCCAGACAGTCACAATCACAGAAAGAGCTTCTGGACCATATTGCCCTACCACCACTGCAGGCTACCTCATTACATCAAACTATGTTACCACAGCAGATGGCACGGTAACCTCAGTCAATTATGATGGCGAGAGCAAGTCAACGATCTGGGTCTACCCAACCGGTACCGGGAACGAAAAGCATTGTACCGTCGCTACCTATGAGAACGACATTGTAATCGACGTGAACATTGTTGACATCACGATCATCATCATTGATGGTTTTCACGTGACAAATACTGTTACTGTAACCGATAACATCACATATACTCCGACTCCTCCCATCCAAACTACAACTACCTCACCTCACAGCACTGAAACCGATAACTCGTATGGCGAAATCCATCATGTGACTGTAGGCGATAAAGGTCTTAATGTTTACTCTCCAAACCAAATCAACGCCAAAGTGGGTGATATCATTCGATTCAAATTCCTCGCCAGAAACCACACCGTCACCCAATCCAACTTCAACACCCCCTGCAATTTCAACGGCGGTTTTGATACCAGCTTCAACCAATTTAACCCCACCAACGCTACCAATATCACCCGCGATTTCATCGTCAATACAAACAAGCCAATTTGGTTCCACTGTGCTCAAGCAAACCCAAAGTCACATTGCCAAGCTGGCATGGTCCTTGGTATCAATCCCGCTGGTAAATTCGATGCTTTCTTAGAAAAAGCAAAGAACAGCGGTAACTCCACAGTCATTCCTTCTGGAACTGGATATGTCACCGGCGTTCCGGCTCCTACTGATACTTACATCACCAAGACTGGACCTTGGATCACAGGTGTTCCAGCACCTTCTGGGTATTCTTCCAAAACCTCTGGGGAGGCGACATATACGCCTTTATACAAGTATCCTTCTATTAAAAGGAGGTCTTTCTAGACATAAGCGAAGAACCAATATGAATTTGAGTTTGATTATAGAGGGCAAGACCCGGGAGTAGAGTAGGGAGAGTTGCTTGCATAACGTTTCGTGTTTTTGATTCATGATTTCTTTTTTATCTTGGGGGAGATCGGTTTTCATTAAGTTGGCTTTTGACATTTAAATGGGTTTCTTCCTTTCTTTTGGTTATGATAATGATGAGCATGGTGCATCAAGGTATTTACATATATAGATCCTCAAATGAAATTTTATTCAGGGCGCTTTCCCTTCCCTGTTGTGTGAGAGATGATTGGTGAAATTTCATTCGTGAAACCTTGTCGCTTCTATTAGCTCAATTTTCTTTGGACAGAAATGTACAGTATGAGCCAAAAGTAATCTCAAGTTTCTGAAGTCTTCTTGCAAGGTGGGTAGAAAAATACTACCTACAATTTAAATCGACGTGAAGAATTCGCTTGTGTAACTTCTTTGGTGTTAAATGGTTTGCGATTCGGGCTCTTCGGGATGTTGGATGGATTATGGATGGACTGTTCTCTAGATATATGAGTTCACTTTTATCCTCCATTAATCTCATAAGTTTGCGTAGAGCTTCAGTTGTTCAAAAGAAATAGGGACAATGAAGTTTCGATGTCACGAAGTAAGATCACGTCAAATCCTGACAGATACATGTAACAAATGAAGTATTCAAATACAAATTAGAATAATGCTTGTATTCTGAGTTTCATACTAGTTTAAGAAGGAACTGATTGATATCCATAAGCTACAAGCCATGCGTCCTACTTGAGTGATCGTATCTTGTTGTGGTTATCCTGTTGTAGTTATAGATAGCACGAAACCCATCCATCCAGACCATTAATTGCTCCCATCAACCATGCACACAGAACCGCTTCTCCTTCCAAACACAGGGCATCAAAATTCTAATTCGATAATTCATCTACTGATGTCCCATGCGCTCCTTATAAGCCTTTTCCGATATTTTTAAGGTGTGGAGTCTCGATCCTACCAACCCTTTGTTTGTATCGGTTTTTTTCGAGGTCTAATAAGAAGACATGGTGATGATAAGTTTGGATTTGTTGTTAAGCTTGGTATTGCTCAGTGATTGACTGAATATTGTTGTTCGATATGATTATGTTGATGAATCAAGTAAGGTTGGGATGTAGGTGATCTATGTTTGGATGCAATTTATCTGCAAGATCGGATTGTTGTGTGTAAAAAGATGAGGGGTCGGAGAGTGGAAATCTTTTAAGTGTTTTGGGTCTTGAAATTACAGTAGACTTAAGATTACTAAATTCCGAATCAAGTTAAAAGACAAATTGACTGCCTTTCCAAGTTTTTACCTATTCTTTGCCTATTGATTGATTAATTTAAGTAAATATATCCAAAACAGAAAAATCTATGACAGTGAGTACTATAACTCAGAGTTGCATACCGAGGTCATCCGAACTTCAACGAGCACTGCTCAAAGTTGATTAGGGATATGATAAATCAACTGTGACATGTATCTTTCATGTAAGTAGTGAATTCCAATTGAGATGCTGATGAATTTATGACTGTGAGAATCATACACATTGATAGATTCAAATGCTCAAAGAAAGAAATAATTGATATCCAAGAGCACCAAATTAATGTTACATCATGGAACACAATAACATCTCTTCTTATACGTATTAATAAAATGAAATTTAGCTTTAAAATTTCAAATTACGAACTCATTAACAAGGATTTAGGAAATGTGGTTACATGTTCTCCTTCAAGATCTTCAATTTAGCTCTAAGAGTCAACGAGGTTGATTTAGTAGTCGCAGCATCTGAAGATATTTGTATTACCCTAAAACTTATGCAATGGAAGGCTCGAGCGAATCACAATATTAGGACCATCTCTCATCTCTTCCCGCTCTAATCCTCACTCATCTCCCCCGTGCTTCGTTTTTCGCTTATCCAATTCCATCCCCTCTCTTTTTTTCATAAACCCGTGTTTTCTTTTCTTGGCCCCTAACTTACGTTTCATTCCATTGATACTCCTACAACCCAACATTAAAAAAATTGTCGGAGGCAGCAAGGTCTTCGTTTTGGTCTAATCTGAGGTTACAGTTAGTTTCAAAATTCGGCCGTGAGAGTTTCTCTGGTCGATATTTTCTCAAATTAGAAGTTCTTTACGACCACTTTCTCCAGAGAAACAACCTGGACCCCTCGCTTGTCCTTTTTATTTGTGTTTTTCTTGATCACATTGATAAGAAATCCCTTGGTGGTGCTCGGTGAACTAAATGAGATAAGCGAACGAATGTGCGGGTGCTAATATTTCCTCGAGCCAGTCGCCTAGTAATCTAGATGTTAAGGATTTCAGGAATCAAAAACTCTTCACCTTGTAAACTGTTGCCTACGAGACGTCTACAAACTCCATCTGAAAAACTTCGAATTGATGAAGAATAGGAAGATAGGCAAATCATCCAACATCGTGCATATAAATCATGAAGACACATTCACAACACTTTCTTTTTCATCATTATCAAAACGCATCAATACTATTTCTACAATAAGCCAGCCGAATATTATCTCACATCGAAATTAGCTGAGTGAAGCAGTAGGCATTCTACGGTGGAACCAGTTTTGGATGATGTATGAACCTATTTTCCTTTTCCCTTCTCCTTTTATTATTTTCCTATTTTGAAGATATAAATACATACGGCTAACAAGAATCTGTTTAAACATTTAAAGTTTAAAAAAGAGCCTTAATGAAATATAGGGAAGCTCAAGCTGCTCCATGAAGAAAAAAATGAGTCAGGCTAATGTATGATTTTATTTCCCTTTCCTCTTCTTTTATTATCCTGGTGTTTTGAATATATAAAGAATGACAGTTAACGAAAACTAGGTTAAAGCTGGAGAAAGGCACCTGCCAACACAAAGGGGGTGTCTTGATGTACCAGCACCTCCGAGAGGCGGGCAGAAGCAAATGGAATCTTCCTGTCCTTCGACAAGAAAGGTGGCAAATCTAGTCAATAATCAAGGTACAGCGACAGTCAGATGGAGTAATGACGAGGAAAAGAAGAAAAGAGAAGTAGTGATCCCCAAGAAAAAGATTGTATATCAACAGACACCCGATTCTAAAAAGTAGAAAAAGATATTCGGAGTATCCAGATATAAGATTAGAGTAGGGATTAGAGTGGAAGTGAACGGAATATAGAAGTCAATGACTGAAAGAGATGAAACTTAAAACGAGAGTGAAATACTTAAAGTATGAACTCCTTAAGTATATAAATTCATCAATAACCCAAACTTAAACCCCTCAAAATAGCTTTTCATGGAGTTATGAACACGATAATATATATTATACAACTCTACTTTGAGATTAAAATCATAAAGTCTTAATGGATAGACAGTTATTAAGAGTTCAAATATCATAAACCCTACAACTATTATCAAATTCCAACAATTATACTCATCAAAGTTACAAAATCATATAAAAATCTTAATAATCAATCCTTACCAACAACAATAAGACTCTAGATATCGAGAATCTAATGACTCCCAATAAACCATCTCCTCCCCCCCTAAATGCATCCCCGAAGGAATCAATAATAGCGGAAGACCGAAGCGAGATGAATTGTTACAAATCATCCATCCCCCTACGTATCGTACTCCTCTCTCCATTATATTCTCATAAAGACAGAAAGAGATAAATGACCAACTAACCATACATACCTCAATAATCACAAAGACTTCAAGTCTGCCCTAAGGTACACAAAAATTACGAGAACCTTTGGTACGTACAATGAAGGAGGAGTGCAGTGCAAAAAAACGGGATGCTAAATAAAGGGAATAAAAAAAGCGCTACCAACAGAGAGAGAGGAGAGAGCAAAAAAGATGGAAAATTCTCCTGTAATTAAATGAATGAAGAATTGAAAAGGATCATAGTTACAATTAAATTGAGTTCAGGTATAGCACTCCAAATCACAATATCGACTTCGAAAAAAATGTAAGGGTATAGATAGGAATGTTCTGAACCGAGAACGATAAGTAGAATCAGAATAGACAAAACGGAGAAGCAGAAGCAAAAGCAGGAAAGTAATATAGTATCAAGATAAATACATATCACATCCAAACTCTAACCGTGGCAAGAATAGGCAAGATGCAATGGATATTCAAAGGTCAAATATTAAACAGATTGGAAAGATGTGACACATGCGCTACCGCTGCATATATATACATATATATACCACTTCTACTTCGTAATTCGATTATAGCTTGAGACAATTCAATATACATAGTCAACAATACACACATTCCACTGGTCTGGATCCTTCGTTGTGAACAAAACATCATAAATCGTAAACTTATCATAAACTTATCATAAAAATTCCTACCATCTATCTCTATCCATCAAAGTCTCAGAGCCACACAAGGGGATTGATAACTCACCATGAACCGATGAACCGAAACGCCATGGTTTGAAACTACGATAGATAGATCGGATATACCCTGCAAACTCCACCGGAGAAACATCCTACTCCATACTCCCCTACTTCCTAATTACCATATCATGCCCTAGTAACACCCCATACCCAAGCAACTGCTTTCCCAATTCAAAAGTCTACCTCTTCTTAGCCCTCTCCCTAACCCCATCCTCCAACCTCTTAACCCCTTTAAGCAATCCCGCGCCTTTCTCACAATTCCCCTCCAACCACTCCTCCATTTCCTCTCTCATAACCCTCATTCCTCTAAGCACTGGTAATTTTCCTCCTTCCTCTCCATCCACATATCCCTGCGGGTTCAACAAAATATCGAAAACCCCTGCCCAGATTTCAGTTTGCCAGTATCTCTTAAGACCCTCTTTGATTTTCCACTTTCTCAATCCACCTCCCATTCCACCAATCGAATCACCTGGTCTTTCAGCAATCGTATCGATATATTTCCCAAAAAGCATGCTATGAATAATACCCGCCAATCCATGATAATCAATTTGATAAGTCCATGGTCTCAATTCCCTCATTTCCGCACAATCCTGAGGACCAGTCTTCCAGTCCGCGATAAATTGAACGTCGGGTTTGAAACACTTCATGTCGATTCCCCTGCCAAAATCAATGAGCGCAATGCCTTTTTTATTCCAACCGTCACTTCCGTCCCTCTTGTATTTAGGACTCCAGATATCAGAATCCGAGAGAGAATCGAATCGAACGAGACAATTATCTGCTTTAAGATCGCCGTGAAGGATACCTTTAGAGTGCAGAGCTTCGATTGTGCGAAATAATTCGATGGTGAAGAACATAACGAGGAGTTCATCCATAACACCACCTGGTGATTTGGCATCTGCGCGGGAAATATTGATGATATCCAGAAGAGTACCTTGATCTCTATATTCTTCTATCAAATAGCATTCATCTCTATAAAGATGCATTTCGTACACATCAAGAATACTTTCTGCAGGGCGGGAAACTCCCAATCTTCGTTTCGCTTGGCGCATGATGTAGAATTCCCATGCACTTGGTGGATCTTCCATCTTTAATGCTTCTAATGATTTGCGATTAAAGTGATCAAAAGCTCCCTTACCCATGACTGCCGGAGTTTCGTTCTCATTTTGCTCGGCATCTTCTCTTCCACTTTCGAGTAGATACACAGGAGCAAATGCGCCGGCGCCAAGTTCTCGTTTCAATGTGTACTGTCTATCTGTTCCGGGGAATTCCAGGGTTGGGGGTGCTGTGATACTAGTTCTATCGCTTGAACCTTTTGCTCTCGAAGCTGCTTTGGCATACTTCTTTAATTCTGCTGACTGGCCTCTCGTCTCGTCGTGCTGAGAAAATCCTTCATAAGAGCTAAGAGGAGGTTGTAGTCTCTCAAATATTAATTGTCGAATACCTTCATCAACCGGATTGCATTGGGAATCGTGAATAATAGGACCTTTAGGTGCAATTTCTTTGGCGAATGCTGTCGAATTTGATAAAGGCTTTTTCTTGCCTAATTGTGGTTGCGGAATTCTGTCGATGGGCTTGGCTTCATTAACAATTTCTCTCAACGGACTGCTATCCTCCTCCTCCTCATCCTCATCATCATCTTGAAAAACCTGTATCTTTGATCCACTACCTCTGCTAGGACTAGTGGTAGAATTAAAGTAATGTTTCTGACCCCTGATTGTTGGTAATCCAAGCGAGGATTCAGTTCTCTCAACGATTGGGGTCATGAAAGGAAGTCGATTTTGAGAAACTTGAGCAGGGTCTCGATATGGATGAGTTGGTGGATCATAATCTTCTGGTGGTATTGGCACAAAACTTGTCGTTGATCTGAACGGTCCGTCCTCGGCTATTGGAGTCACGAGATCATCGTGTTCTTCGACATCACGAGGAATGGCAACCTTGATAGCCTCAAACTCTTCATCTTCTCCATCGGTGAAGGTAGAGGCTATGGTTCCATCTTCATCGTCCATATCTGGAGCAGGCCTCTGCGCTGTAAATTCAGTCCACTCGCTTTCACTCTTTACATCCGTAGTCTCGTCATCATCACCAGCTTCACTAGTACCATGAAGTCCCCCTGTCATGGTGCTTTCTCCGCCACTTGTATAATCACCATCAGTCATATCTTCATCGTCGTCATCACTTTCTTCCTCCTCCTCCTCCTCCTCTTCTTCTTCTTCATTTGCTGGTTTGAGGGGTTGGTTAAAGATGTCGTAAATTTCATCCGTGGCTGCTTTAGTATGAAGCGTCATCGTTTGCTCCTTCGATGCCTTTCTCTTTTTCATCTTCTTCCCCGTCGGCGAAGAAAGTTTGGCGCTGACTACAGATTATTAGCTTTCAACATTACCATAGATACTCAAATACTCACTTATTTGCGTCTTATTAACCTCCTTAACTTTCATCCTCCTATGCTTCGTTTCCCTATTATGATCTTTCTTTGCTCCATTCTCATCCAGATATACTGAATCTCGAGCAACAACGAGTTTCTCCGGTCGATGATTTTCGTCAGTATATACAGGATCCCGAGCAATAACGAGCTTCTCTGGCCGATTTTCATCCGTAGGTACGGGATCCCGAGCAATTGCAAATTTCTCCTTGCGATTCTCACTGGAAAACACGGAATCCCGAGCAATAACTAGCTTCTCTGGAATTTGTTGTGTAATAGTTTCAATGCCCGTATTAGAATCTTGAGTTGGTTCACTTGACATTGGCTCCGATGGTACATTCAATTCCGGTTCCCACGACTTATCCAACCATCCACGATGAGCAGCACGTAACTCTTCGAAGCTCAATTCCGTCCCAATTTCATCCGGACTAGGATACACAGCTTCAAGATTAACAAAAATTCGTTCACTTCTGCCATTTCTAGGATTAATAGTCACTTGTTGCAATTCTGGAATTGTGATTTGAGGTAATTTTAATGACTGAAATACATAGCGCCACAAGTGCCAAAAATTAGTCCTATGATCATCAACATATGCAAAACAAGGGACAATAGAACGGAAGGAAAAACATACCTCGTCCTTGAAAATTGCCATCTTGGTGCTGCTCTTCTTTCCACCCGCTTTTAATGTTTCTCCAACCCATGGCTTGGGTTCAACCCTATTTTCCTTCTTTCGGTCTGCCAATGATCCTATGCTTTCCCAACCTGCACCTGGAGATGCAGAGATTGCCGGTGCAGATCCATTCTCATCATCCGAGAAAATCTTTAACTTCTGCTTACCACTTTTCGTAGTCGTTGAACCGCCGCCTACACCCGCAGAAGGTCTAGGTGCTTGAGGATCCTCTGGAGCCGGCGCAACTGCAGCATATGGGTCTATCTTTGCTGCAAGAGCTGGTCGAACTGTAGGTAATGCGGGCGATGAAGGTTCATCACTGCTGTCTGGTCTAGCAGCAAATCTTTCCTGGAACTCGTTGAATTTGCGTAACAAACGTGGTGCCGGTCTAGCCTCCTTATCAATACCCATCTGAAAAACTTCCTCCGCTTGTACCCATCTGCCAGCACCTTCCAACCACCCTGCAAATTCTTCGTAGAATAATGCTAATCCTTCACCAATGTTATGACGAGCTAGAAACGCAAATGTTTCGCGCGGTGTATCGGAGAAGAATCGTATGTATGAAAGCCATAGCTTTAGGTATCGTGGATCATTTTTGTATTGTGGAGAATTGAGGAAGGTCTTCGTTGCGCGCTCGAGAAGAGGGGCAAGTTGTGAATTGGGTGTTGCTTGTGCGGAGGGGTATGCATCGAGTGTCCATTTGACATATCGATCATAGATGTCTAAAGGGTCGTCTGATTCACCAATATTGGCCAATTCTTCTTCATATTCTTCTCTAACTGCATCATTCAAATTTCTGGTATCGGATGGTGTGGGCGTTGAGAGGGGTTGTAGAGGTGATGGAGAGAATATTTTTGCGAGATTCCTTGCGGATCGTCCTTGTGGTAATGATTGAATGTTTTCTTTTTGATTCTCAATTATGTCGAAATCGATCAGATCCTCAGAAGCAGACATCGTGAGGTTCTTGTGGCGGTTAGTAGTTTGTCGAAATGTTCTTGTCGTAATATTTGGAAATGGAGTTGTTCTTAAATTAAAAATGGCAGTTGAGTTGTTTACGTTTTTTGTTTACGGTACCCAAATACCCTAGCAACCCCACCATACACCAATCAAAATCCTTTTGCGCATGTGAGTGAACAACACCGACACCGATACCGATGTTAGTTCGAGAGCAGTAGATTTATCGTTATTGGTCAAGTATTAAATTGTCACAAGTAGTATTCAAAAACCTCAAGATCACAGATTCAAGAGTAAATCAACAACAAATGAATAATACTTGAGATTCTGGAAAGATTCCCTAATGCATATTGTAAAATCTATCGAACGAAAGCCAATATATTGTTCCCTTGACACCATCCAACACCCTCTGCGTAGTCTTATAAAAGAGTCTCTCGTAGTCTCCTTCTTTAACGCCAATATCCTCTTTTTCCAATTGTTGCCACCACATCAAGCTTTCAGTTCCAGCCCACTGCATCGGCAGGCGTGTTGTTGCAATGCTCTTACTGGCTTCCAACTGCCATGTCCACCGTCGCTGCACCATGCTCATACGACCCTGGATTCTTCCGTCGAAGACGAGCCTCACGTGAATAGCATTCCTCCTGATCCTCCTCATCTAATACAATCCTCACCCTCGGAGGCTTCCATTTCGTATTTCCTCTCTCCGACCTGATACGCTCGAAACACTCCTCGAGTTCCGCAATAATTTTAGACGGTGTCATATCCCATCTTGCCGAGTGACTTCGCCAATTTCCTTCTATTGCAAAATCCGGATGGTCAATCCATCGAGGTCCCTGTTCCTTATAACGATATGTGTAATAATCGACAACATATGTGAATGTCTTTAGATTTGAAAACTCAGCTAACCATGTCGCTAGCTTCAGCCAGCTGAATGGCTCATGGTGTCTTATAGATTCTTCCCAAATCCACCGGATCCCGGTAGCTTTCGTCGAAACTGCAAGATGCTGCATCGCACTCATTCGCTTTTGGAAAAATGGATTATCAAGAGGGAAACTCATATCTTTCACGCCTGGATTCAAATTGGGATTGTCTGTAGAATGGATCGGAAGCCAGTATGGAACATAAATGATATCCATAGATGGATTCCACCAGCGACCCGAGATGCTACAACCAATCGCCTCATCGTTTTGCTCGTTTTCTTTACTACTCCACGACTCTTGGTAAATCCTTAATGTCTCTTCTCGTGATTCTTGGCAGACACGTAAGAATTTGGGTGGAGGCAGGTATTGAAGGCAATAAGTGTCAAACTCCTGTAGTCGGACATTTGCATCGACTTTGAAGTGAAGTATCCTTTCTTCAGAACAACAAAATTTCCAGATCTCACGACGAATTTCCGTAGGCAGATCACAGAAATTCGTAGCTGGATTGCTGGCGCCAGACATTTTGGTGTAGAAATATGGGTTTGACTTTCAATTCGAAAGACCTACGGGTATGTTTGGTACACGATGAATGATAAAGATATACAATGTATGATAACGGACACAAGTGAACAAAGAGGACACAAATGAGGGGTCAAGTGGATACAGATTAGAGTTGAGCTTGGGTGCATGTAGTGATAACTGGGTGAGCGCACGATTCTATTGGATAATAATTCTCTTGTAATGATAACCGAACATCACAGAGCTAGTAAACACACCTCTTCAATTCTACCTAATTGTGTCTCCTCTCAAAGTATCAAAAAAGGACAAATATTCATTACCGAGGACCAAGAAGTATCAATAAAATAACATTTGGACAATCGCTGCTATCATTGAAAGTGCATTAGTATTCGTGTTTTAACTATACGTAAAAGGAATCAAGAGATAACTACTAGTACAACTGATTTACAAGTCTCAAGCTAAGTAAGATACGCGATTACCCCCTTTTGGAAGCAATAACCACAAATTAATGAATGGGCCTGCTAGTCGCAGCTGAATCACAAAAATGGCAGAATGGGGAATCTCACAGAATTTAGTATGTCGTACATTGCACTTAAGGAACAGTTACAAGAATATGGTGTGTAAATATGTTTCAGTGTTGATGGGAGAGACTAGCTAAATTAACGAACTGCTTTTTTCTTCTTTTCTTTTGGTTGTGTAAAGATAAGCGAAGGAAATAAAAGTATGTGAAGATATGCTATGTTTTATCTATTCCATCTGTCCGTTCATGTCAGACCTAGCCTCAATGCCATAGTAGCCCACCCTAATTTCCCGAATTATTTGGGCGCTGAATCCGTTCTTAAAACCCCGACTGGAATTCTGCGCCCCGCAATTTGTTCGCTTGTAAAGCTATTTTTCCAGGTGAATTTCCCGTTAATATCCGTTCCATCCTCAAAAGTGACCAATTTACCACGGTGCTCCCTCAAAGATCTGTGCCAATCCCTTATACGGACTCAGAATCGTTCAATCAGCATGAGCGGGCAAGTAAGTATCGAATCCCACAAAATGATACCTAGGCTCTGGACAACGCTTCATACGTAAACGCCAATCTGCATCTGCATCAAATCGCGCAATCATGCCTACGCCCGGTGCGTGCACCTTCCAGAAATTCATAACATCGTCCTTGAGTCTAAATCCAGAGTCAAGCTGTCTAAGAAAGCTTCTGAAGCAATGATCCACATCTGCCTTTGTTTGCATCAAACTATAGGGACGTTCTTCGTGCAACGATCCATCTTCATACTCGAAATCTTGATAGTAGAACTCATCGTTGACGTCGAAAATCACTTCTTCTATATCAATGAGCGTTTCGGTCATCGGGTCTTCGTTTGAAATGATGTATGTTAATTTTTTAAGATGAGGACATTCGACACTGATTACACCGTGTATCAGACGATCAACATCATCTTCTTGGAGACGATAGTGTGGCCAATCCCATTGAAATGGTCTTACATTGGCGAGGGCGATATGCTTAACATTTGACAAGTCAATGGACCCACCGACGAAGTAGAGGATGAAGAGCTGACGATAATCAATGATCAATGTATCAGTCTCGGGTCGAATATATACATGGCTCAAAGAGCGGTATCCGGATCCTCTCTCATAGAAGATGTTGCGTCTACAACGATCCCAGAAATAGTTGGGAGGGAAGTAATTCTCGTCGTACAATGCATTGTAAAGCTTTGACTTTATACCTCTGGAGTACTTCTGAAGCTCAACTTTTTTGAATTCCTTGTTGACCTCTGTATTGAATAGCCAAGAAGTATTGAGCAATGGTGCGAGGTGCATGTCAGGTAGCATCTGAAAATTCAAGATCATGTTGAAATTGTTGAATTCAGTTCTGAATCCCATTCGGATGAGACGCTTCTCAGGAAACGCGTACTTCAAGATCATGATCTGGACCTCGAGAGGAAGAAACTCAAATGCAAAGAAGCTATCGTCCTCGGTTGAGCATTCGAGAGCCTTGAAGGCCTGAGATTGACTTGGTGTGAGCCAGCTTGAAGTAGGGATATCTATATCCATGTTATCCATAGCAATGATTGTATCATCCATGATAGTGTTCTCCACGGTTGACTTCTTCATAGCCGTCTTCTTCCCGGTCTTCTTCTTCATGAGTGCCTTTCTCATGGCTGCCCTCTTCAGGATTGATTTTTTCATGGTTGTCTTAGTCATGATCGTCGTTTGAAAGATTCAATGTGTGGATAGAGTTGATTTTAGATTTAGTTGGAGGAATTTTTAAGTTTGAGCTAAGTTGTTGTTGATGGAGAGTTGTGATTGGCGTTGGTGTTATATTCTATTAGAAGGAAGGAAGATTAATTGGAGGATTCCAGCAGTTCCTCGACAACGACTATATACCAATTAGATGGGAGAATTTACGGTTTGAGTACACTCTAGGCTATTGCATCAATTTTATGAACAGGAGAAGCTTTGATTTAGTGCACAAATACTGGTACAGCTCTACGAGCGCGAATCACAAAACAGTGAGATGGCTGTTAAAATCGGTAGATGCGTATACAACCATAATGATCGTGAACATTCTTTTACCCAATACGGTCTGTTGTTCGGCCAGTTATATATGATCAATACGGCAATAGCCTCGAGATTCTCTGATGCGACTTGTTAAAAACCTATGTGACGAATATAACGTACCTATGTGATTACTCATCACGCTATCCTCAATTTAAGACTAGCTTGAACTAAACGACCTTTTATTATATGAGAGATAAAGACATCCCTTAAGGATCTTTTTTCTCTTTAGCTTTCTTATTCTAGTTCATTTGACCTCTGTCGATACGCTCTAGCACGTGACCGCAACACAGAGTCTACCTCGGTCGTCCAGCAAATTCAATGATCAAACAATACGGCGCCAGTGCGATTTTACCGTGATAGGGAGATGACAAACGAATCTGTTTGTAGAGATTCAGTAAACATCATCCTGACCGTCAACCAATACGACTCGTACTGCAGACCTGTATATATACACAACATACCTTCTTCTATTCTGAGTTGCTTTTGGCTCGTTACATCCACCTTCATCATATTTACAAATACCAAGTCCACACCCACTCATCTCAAGCCGAATTACTCAAACGGTCTTGCTCACAGCTATTCAATCAATAACCGTCCGCATTTAGTCTAAGACAGCGAATCAAACCAACCGCATCACCAAAGAAAAGCTTTTTCCAATTCACAATAATATTGAGATTCCACAATACAATGGGAGAACTTCGAGCAAAGGGTCCACGATCCAAGATGAGTCCATTTGCCAATCCTTCGAAAAGCAATCCCACGATGTTCTCTCGATTCAGTCAATTCCTCCTCGAAATTCAATGCATGATCTTCGAGCAGGCATTACCACCTCCACAAGTCATGAATTTCCGCTTCTGAATCCACAGGAAACGTGGTGGATTACCGATATAATCAACTTCGGATCTGCGCTAGCGAAATTTCCTGGTGTTTCATATCTTTTAGAGACCTGCAAAGTCTCAAGTTACACTATGCATCGTTGTGCTGGTCTTGAGAAGATCGAACTATTCCGTGCTCCAACTCGTCACTTTCTTGACACGACAGAGACGATTCCTGATACCCTTAATTACCTGTATCTTCGACCGTCGATTGATATCTTTATGGTCAGCATTGACAGCCTAGTCAGATTGTATCGAATTGGCGGCTCGATAGGATCTCTATGCAATATTCAGCAACTAGCTATAACAGGAATGGATTACAATCTTTTCGATGACTGCGACGACGAAGAGATAACGACTCTTTTCGAGAAGCTCTGCAATATCGTTGAAATACACTGCCTAGCACTTGAGAAACTTCATCTGGTCATTGGCGACACTGAAACAGTTCCGTTTGGCGATGTAAAGGATAGTCTTGAGTTGACTCGAGATTTAAGACTGATCGAAATAGACGATGACTTTCAAGATTTTGATTTAGAGGAGGACAAAGAGAGGCAAGAAAATTACGAACTAGAAAGCCTCAAGGAAGAGATGAATAATACTTCCGAGTATGTGCAACACGCAATGATGGAACTAAGGGGCTATATCGAGCAAACGGAAATGCTATCAGACAGTGATGTAGCGGATTACTGGAGGAAAATGAAGGTAGTGCCGGCCGCAGTAGGCTGGTTGGAAGGTGAGAAGAGACCACAACCATGGTTTCCTGCACTATCATCTGTGCTCCCATGCTATGATAATGGAGCCCCTTTCGATACATACCAGGGGATAGTGGAGCTCTTTGAGGGAGCGGATTCATAGATCTGTCGAACTTGACATAATGTAAACTTGCGCACGAAAGTACTCTCGAAATTTTAGCGGGAAACTCCTACTTCAAACTTGGAAGAAGTAGATTCCCAGGTTCCAATCACTTGAGTTTTGTCCGCACTTACCTCGTTCATATTGTGGAAGTTATAAAGGGATACCCGTGTCAATGATTTAGCGAGAAGCTAGTGGGGAAAAGCGAACATAAACAAGGTCAATATCGGAGTGTGTGTACTAGTAACGATTAGCCAAGAAAATGCAGAAATACTTTAGACTTTTGATGACTATGAATACTTAACTATATTGCATGATGATTTAACTCATTTAAAATGACAAACAATTGTGTGAATGTTTATGATACTCCTGCTGACATAGATTTCTCCCGTGTATATCTCCCTATAACCACGTACTGACATATGATTCAGGTTCCTCCCATGTCTCCCAATGAAGTTTCACAAACAAAAGTATTCTCTCACCCAAAATCAGTCTGCTGACACGCAGCCCAATCTATTAACTTTCAGCTTCGCGCCAAGCCAAGACGCCCACATATTTCCTGCAGCCCTAAAATGCCTGCAAATCACGGCCCGGTAATCGTTACACAGCCCAAAAGCTGACATGCGGGGTGTCGGTAGAACTTTATGGAGCTGGTGCCTAGAACATCGAATTCGATAAGAAGGAATTATTTTTCGCATTTTTGATTTAGAAGAAAGGTTTGGAAATAAAAATCGTGAGATATTAAAGAATCAGCGAGAAGTCATGGATTCATCAGATGGGTTTGAACATATTACGCAGCCTTTGGAGGATGTAAAAGAGAAGGGTGTGGTGGATAATGATGTTGTGAGTGGTGAGGGGAGAACAACACGAAAAACAAAATTAACGACGACGAGGAAGAGGCTACCGGTGACAAGTAAGCAGATCTTAGCATACCAAATTCTCAATTTCATCCTCTGATATTTCGCAGAGACTCCAAGGCCGCTCAAACAAATCCTGAAGATGAGACGCCCGAAACACGTCCAACTTGGACCCGAATGCATCTTCGATACTTGTCCACCGAAGTTTTGGAAGAAAACAACATAGATTATGTAATCGACAGTCAGGTATGTTGTTTAGCACTTCAATTGCGAGCTTAAATGATTAATAAATGTAATAGAATCCAGAGTACGTCTTGATTCAACGTTGGGTTCCCGAATATGAGCAAGATTTTCTTTGGGCTGCAACTCGTGCTTCACGTACCAGACGCAATTCCGAGAACCGTCGCTCCAGCTCTCCATATCCATCACGTGTTCGTTCCAACCGAGCTTCGTCGCCTGGTATCATTGAAGTCCGTGTAGGTAAGCAAGGAGCGGAGCTCAAGCTTGATATTAATAGAATGGAATTTAAAGATTGGGCAGGATCAAAGTATATGGAGCAAAGAGGGAAACATGTGCTGGATGTTGCGGTGGAGGATGGAAAAGCGATCAGAGTTGCGATCAACTCAGAGGCTTTGAGAGACGAACTGAGAATAGTGATAGGAGCTGGTGTGGGTCTTGTGATAAGTGAATGGCGTAGAGTTTTAACAGGGCCTTGGAAGGTACTTGTGGAATATGAGGAAGCGATCAAATCACGATTGCACAAACTGGAGGAGATGATGAAATCTCGAGACGAAACATTGGCGGAAAACCCGGTGGAAGACAAAAACAAAGTGACCGATCGAGTTCATGAAGACAGAAGATCAGATCGCAAGGTCAGATTTAGAGACCCCCCCTCCAGTTGCGAGGTTTGTGATGTTGTCTATCCTCCTCACGAAACCCCTCTCGCATGCATCGATACTAGAGTGGCCCACTTAAAGTGTCTGATCGAATTCATGGACTACGATCTGAGACATGTTTTCGACCTCCGACAACAGATCAAAGACGGTTCTGTCACCGAAATTGCTTTCACTGATCTTTGGCATTTATTCAGTCCCGGCGATCTGATTGTCACCTACCCCATGTCTCGTGCGTATCGAGTCTTTCATACATCAGGTGGTCGGCTGCGTTTATCTAAACCTGAGTTATTTGAAAAGAAAACAGTGGGCTCGCCTTTCAATATTAACTGTTTTTATATGAATTCTGATTGGAAGACCGTTGGTCCGATTCATGAAACTTTAAGAATATCAGAGTATGCTGGAAAGAAGCCAGTGTCGGAGCTACTAGTTGAGCTGGATGGAAAGCTCATGACAGAGAGAGTCACAGTTTTTCCCCTTAAACTACTCTCAATCAGTGAACAGGAGGAGGAAACTTCACATCTGATTGCTAGAGGAAAGAAATCGAGAGCCTTCAAGAAAGGTGATCACAAGTATTATTTAGGCAGTGCTGGGGAGGAAGTGTCGAACTCGTCAAATGATGAAGACTTAAAATTTGCAGGGCGACCACCAGGGTACGGGATGGGCCCTTTCGTAAATTTAAAGAAAGAACGCGAAGAAGTAAGTAAAGCGTCTCATATCAGATATTGGAACTAACATTAGAATAGATCAAAAGCGAAATCATCATAGACAGCGAGTACGAGACTGAGAATAAAGCTATTGGTCTTTTTGACGCAATTGAATTCGATTCCAGGGAAACCGCTGAGAATTGCACTCATTATGGAGTATCGAACAATCAATACTTCGATGACCGCGGCTTTCAGAGAGATTGTCGATGCTCGGACTTGGTCGTGGATAATGTTGTTGATAATGATCGTGCGGCCAAGTACAAAGATGATATGCACCTCTTGCATCCTTGTGATGTTAACGATGAACTCGAAGATGAGTTTCTCATGCTATTGCCGCCCACGGTTGAAGGATTCGTACTGGAGAAAAAGAAATGGAAGATGCTGAGTGTGGATACGATAAGTGATCTGAAGCAAGAAAGCGTTGACAATCCTGTGAATTTCAAAGCTCTCATGGTACCTGAAGGACACGAAAGTCTATTGAAAGCATTGGTGGGGACGCACTCCAGCAGTCAATCACTTCCTTCCAAAACAAGCAGGGATCCATGTAAGTTCTTGAAATAGATCAAAATAAGAACCATCTACTAATAAAAATAACAGCAAGCCTAGCAATTCTGCTCCACGGACCAAAAAGCACGGGGAAATTTCTCACCGTGAAAGCACTCGCCTCTCATTTTAACAGACCGCTGTACACCATTACTAGCGCAGATCTCGGTATAACCACATGGGATGCTGCACGGGAGCTTGCTACCCATTTCAAACGGGCCACAAAATGGAACTGTATAATTGCAATTCCAGACGCGGAACGTCGGTTCCCTCATCGCAAGAGCCCTTCAGATGGTGATTCCAATATGTCAGGGTTATTTCTAAGGGAATTAGAATTATTCAAAGGCGTTGTTATTTTAACAACCGATACGAAAGATGATGTGGAGGAGCAAGTTGTGAGAGGTATGAATGTATGTCTCGGAAGCGATTTCTGGAGCAGATCAGAAAACCTTCGAGTTTGGCAGCAAGTTTTGAAAAAGCGTGGAATTTTCCTTGCAAAAGATAATGATGAACTGCCGGCAGGAACTACAGCGACAATTGCGGAAGCGGACTATGATCGTTGGTTGAGATTCATAAATGGAGAATATAGAACAGGAAAGCGGTGGAGTGGAGTGGAAATGGACAATTACTTTGATACAGCGTTGGCTCTGGCGGCATATGACACCGATTCTACCAGCGGATCGATGTATATCTTGAAGGACAGTCACTTGAGTATTGCAGCAAGGGTTACTGGTACTTCAGTTTTCTCCGTATTGTAGTGTCACTTTCGCTTTTCATTACAATATGTGACTGAGCAGCAGTCGTCACAGCATAGAATAGCAAAGATAGAATTTTTACAATGATTTAATATTTTATCTTATGGATAACCTATTGTTCCTGATATCCCAGCAATCAGAGTATCAGCAATACGTACTCTGCAACTCCATTCAGTACATAGTAGCCTTGTCGAAGAAGGGGAATCCTCAGCCTCTAAATGTTACTAAACTTCCGATCAATATCCTGGACTACCAAATCTGTCGTCTAGCATACCACCACTTTCATAACTTCGCAGAATATCTGCGTCCTATACCCTTTTCTAAGCCCTGCAAACTAGCTTTCCGTTGGCATCATGGGGTACCCACGCGCCCACACCCATAATCTTCGTTGTATTTTGCATGTGATCGGGCCTAGCTCGGAAGCCAGGGAGGACCTCGACATTCTTCCAATACTTAGCCTTGTCTTCGTCGTCAACATGTTCATTCAAATACTCTGCTAGCACACTCGATGTGTCTCTTAGCTCAATAACCATCTTCTCTTGTGTAAACAGCTCATCGATTCCAAATCGCTCACCGCCTGCCACGGAGCGTTCATCATATGATTCATCATGAAAATCAAGTTGGTAGAACTTTTCATCAACATCAACAATGATGTTATGTGTATCATGTTCAATGACATATGGGTCATCGTCGTCCTCCTCTGTGAAGTCGATACCGAGAAGGAGACTGAGTTTCTTCAACGTCGGGCAGTGCTTTTCGGCAATAAGAAAGACCCATTTCCAGAGATTTCGAGCTCTTAATTTACTTCCATTGTGTCTATCTCTCTCTAACAGGTTGTGTACCGCCAGATGTGTGATATTTTCAAGGTTCATAGAGCCGCCATGTTGATACAACATCACGAAATCCTTTGCATAAACCACCAATGTATCCTTGGCAGGGCGTAGCCAAGTATGATTGCGTTGCGGAGGTGGTAATGTAAGATATTCGATGTTCAGGTGAGGCTTTTGCTTCATAACATAGTTGTTCTGTCGATTGTTGTTATCTGGAAAAGAGACAGCAATTCTTTCGTATCCGCCGCTTGTTACAGCCTCATTAGAAGCTTTACATGCTAGCAAAATTGGCAATAAGGGAGGAGATTTGGCACTCCAGGCAGAGGTTGTGATTGTGAAATCTGTATCCGAGTGATAAATCTCTCCTGTTTTCTTATTCTGACGAATCATAGTAGGAAGCTCCTCAACGTCGATCTCAAACTTCAAGAGAAGTGGGTCAGAAACAGGCAATGCCAGCTTGAAGACAATTCTCTGTAGCTCCGGAGCAAATCGACTAAACGGGTGAAATTCTGTCAAAGTTGCGGCATCGGGTGGATTGGTTGAGTCAGAAGAGTTTGATTGGGGCGCTTCTAAAGCTATATTTTATCAGTATATGTGTGTGAAAAAATATTATAAAATGCATGAGGTCTTACCACTGGTGCTTTCAGATACTGAATCATCATCTGATGCTATAGAATCCTCGTCGCTATGGCTCTCAACTGCTGGTAAACTTGTTGATAGTTTGTCTACTTCTATATTCTGTTAGGAAATTTACAAAAAAGAACTTTTGGAAATATTTTTACCTTCATAATCCTCTGTGGAAGACTCTTCATACAAGCTTGAAGATTCTGAATCAGATGTGTCACTTTCAGACAATATTGTTGACATTGTTGCTATGGTGTATTGTTTGTCGCACATTCGAGTTCTTAGTATTGAAGTATTCAAGTATTGAAGGTTGTCACAATAGAGAAAAACTCATTATCCCATCAAGAGAATCGACGTGGATAATCTGTTGAAGAAGATTACCACTTTTGTGGTGTGACCTGAATGGATTGAAAAGTAAAATTGAAACCTATAAAGACTTCGAGAGTGTATAAACAATTCTTGAGCACAAGGCTAGCTATATAAGTAGAGCCGAGTTCCGAACTGACATCAAGGAAACTTCGGGTAGATACGGTTATTTCTTTGGGTGAATCTTCGGATGACAACATGAAGATAACAATAATTTTATGTCTTCCATACAAAAGAGCCAATACCCAGTATGTCTGTGGTTTGTAAAATTCACTCCATTGTGTGAAGTGAAGAGTGTAAATGAGAATCTATCCTTTGTTCATCAGTTGAAAGACGAATAGCATCCATTCTGTTAATTTGTCGTTTTTCTTAAGATCAATTTGATTCACCTCACTTGAGCTAGCTTAGTAGACGTAGTTATATTTTGTGTATTCTCATGCATGTTTACCAACCCTCATTTCCTTGAGAATTTTTACCAAACAAAAGGTAAGAAAATAGTATTTTTTATTCCCACTCAACCCTCAACATCATCTATGCATCACCATCTATCAAACACTAATTAGGTTCCGAACAATGGAGAGTGTCCCATCTGTTCCGCTCAAAATTTGTAGTTTGAAGGGTCCCATCATTATTGGAGTATACATAGGCATCTAGATGCGGAATGTAGAGCTCGGATTCATCAAATGGATTTTGTGACCCGCAGTCTAGGACAGAGACCACCTGAACATTCTTCCAGAATGCCGTACTTTTTCTGCCCATCTTCTTGTAGACTGCATCAATCTCAGACATAAGCCTAGACGAGGTGTCCATTATTGATTTTGTTATCCAGTACATATTGGCTTCTGGATTTTGTATTTGTGTCCTGACCGGATACCGGAGCTTGAGCTTCAGAAGATTCTCATCAATGTCGATAAATCTGCCAATGGCATACTGATTGATGGAAGATTACCTGAAAAATGATACAACAATACTAACTCTTTTGATATTTGGGCAATGAGTTTCATCTACTGTGAACATGATTATTCAGAAATTCATCAAATCATTCATATCTACTTAAACCTTGCTGCACCGTAGAATGAGCAGTGTGGTGTGCCAATTGGATAATAATTAGCTAGTCTTGCAAATGAACTTTGTAGCTAAATCTACGGTATCATGAAAATGAAATCAGTGTTGATCTTTTGTCAACTTGTTGTTTTTGATGGTCAAATACGGCCTGACACCAATATTCTCCTATTCATTTAAGCGAACCGTACAGAGCGCTCTACCCGCTACCAATTATGTAAATAATGAGGCTTGAAGTATGAAGCTGGTACAACCATCTTTCTCCACCGTACCGTTCACATTTTACTATATCAGTAACGATACAAACCTTCTGTAATCCATCACTTTATCTCTCGGAATTACAAACTCAACTCCCAACACGTCCCAAAGCTGTCGCATAGGAATGAACATACCGATCACGTTGACAACTCATTCTTTGCACCACACCATGTGCAAAGACTGTCCTCCTTTAAACCCATGGGAAGAGGGGTATCAAGATAATCGAGATCCACGCGATGGAATTTTTGAGAAGTTCAGCCTCCTTCCAACAGAAGTTCAATGCGCGATCTTCAGGGAGGCGTTACCAAGCCCCCAGGTCATTAATCTGGCTTTCAAAATTACTGAAACCCGCGATCACGGTGCGCGAAAAATAATTCGACAGCTGGAGGTTTCCATACCCACAAATCCCAGCATGCTCCCATTACTTAAAGCCTGTGCTATTTCAAACGCCGAGGTATATCGAAATGTTAAGGATATCGTAATCACACGTCTGGGAACGAAGAATCCTTTTACGATTTCGAACCCAGTGCTGGGGATTCCTCCGCATATTCGTGATTACGAAGTCGTAAACCGTTTGAAAGCATCTACGAAGCCTAACACGAGAGGTTATACTTATATGAGAGTAGATAAAGATATCCTCATGCTGGATGCTGCTAATGTCTTCACCTTATACAGCTACGGTGGTACTATTTTGATGTCCAATATCAAGTATCTAGCGCTGCAAAATGCCTCCCTTGATGGCATGAGCTGGGAGCTTCCCGGAAGCATGCTTGGTGTAAATTACGAGCTTCATCGTCTCCACATTTTTTTCAAGATTATCAGTCTACATTGCCCGGCACTCTCTAAAGTTTATTTTCTCCTTGACGGTCGCAATTATTTCCATTTTAACGAATCACCCGTTCAAAGCCAAAAATTGGAATTACGGATCCTTGATATGGACAGCGATTTCTTCATTCAAGACTTTACTGGTATGGAAACGGAATACAAGGCGGAAGGAGAATGGGAAATATCAGCGAGGATGAGTCTTCAAGAGGATGCTAAATATGTGATGAGAGATTGGAAGCAATACAGGAAAGCTATCGTTCAGAATACTGCTCGGGATAGAGACGTTGTGAATTTTTGGAAGACTAGAGAACCAATTGTGGGCCTGGTGGGCTGGTTCTATGCAGATACCCAAGATGAATCTTCAGTTTTACCTCTTCCTCGAATGTATATACCTTCAGTGCTAGCTTGGTTGCCGGCTCATGCTGATGGTACTATCGTGGATAAGTATAAAGGATTGGCGCAGATATTTGACGGTGCTCCATGGTAGATTCAGAAGAGGTGATGGAATGAGCTGGCGGATTTTTTGACAGAGAAACTCTCAGGAAATATGATGGGGTAATAAGTCTTGCAATATAAAATTTATCAGCATATCCAATTTAGGAATTCAATGCGTCAAATAGTGAAATGGTGATATTCCTATCATGCAAGATCTCCCTCGTGAGTAGTAGCCCTCCCGTCCTTGACGTGGTTGCAAGAATCTCTCAACAATTGCAATTGAACGATAATTCTCGTTCTTTTTGTTCGAGCAGAGCCACAACGTTACAAGCCGTTTTGTTTTTCCTCCGTTCCCATCGTGTGAAGCATCATATATCCATAAAGTTTCCAGTACATACTTGAGTTCTTTACCAAGATTAGTGATCATACATTATCCTTATCATGAAGTCTCCTTGTTCGAGAAACATGGAGAAATAATACTACTCACTCACTCGAGCGAAGTAGTTCCCATTCAGCAAATTCAGCGGAAGATCACGTGTAAAGAGAAGAGAAACAGGAAACCCCCATCAATATCTTGTCAAGCTTCAAAGTCTTAAGCTTCGACACTCTGACTTATACCCTAAATCTCACTTTAAAAATGTAGTTTAAATCAGACGTGCAACAAAATACACAATCTCAGAGACTAAATCACGGGGCATCGTTGGCTATTCTCGGTTAAGCTTATGTGGAGGCGAGTCACGTGTCACGCGGTTGGACTTTACTTTGTCCAGACCGACCTCCACTCTTCTACGTCATGATTGATGGACTCCGAATACCGATTTTCAAAATTTGTATCTCGGAATGTTCTGATAAATATCGACACGACAATCCTTCTCCACAGACAGCAGCGAAATTCTAAGATTTCTGTCATATGTTAGGTAGGCAATTGTTGATACGTTTTGCTAATTGTGAATTCCCATTAAAGACCACAATTCCATGGAATCTTCGATCAATCTACTGGATCTAGATCACGACAGTTATGGATCCCACATACGCTAAAAGATATCAATGCCGTCAGTACATGGAACTACCGCGTACCAAGCTATGCAAAATACTGGTAAAATGTAAGTTGAGGACCATGTAGGTACAATACTTCCCCGAGTATCCATTGTATTGATAAACATTCTCTTTCCCTGTTTTCTCTACATTGTATAATTTATATTTGGGGATGTATAAAAGTCGTTTTCTGGAAGGAAAGTTTAGAGTTAGTACTCGAAATCTTTGCACTTTTGTTACTCCAAACCCTGGAAGGATTTCGATCAAATCCAAAACCATACCAAATAGAGTTTCGAAACCCTATCTCTACCCCGCCATCATCAATCAAAAATCTCATTTCAGCATGACCCCAACTACGAGAAGCAATGGCTCCAAAACATCAATATCCCGTCCTCCTTCAACATTTACAAATGAAAACTCCTCGCCACACCCTCAATCCCACCCCCAAAAACCAACCATAGCCATCATCGGCACCGGCTGGGCCGGCTGGACTCTCGCTCAAGAGCTTTCCGCCACCACTTCCTCAGCATCTCCGTACAACATAATTGCCATTTCCCCCTCACGAACCATGGCTCTCACTCCCCTCCTCGCTTCAGCCGCTTGCTCTATCTTCGATTTCCGTCTCGCCGAAGAACCCGTTCGTCGGCGAGATTCCAAGTTCGAAAAATATCAAGCTCTAGTCACATCTGTTGATTTCAAATCGCAAACCATCAAATGTAAAGCTTGTATTGGAGGAAGTGGCGTGAGTGGCGAATCACTGGATTCCCCAACTTATAGTGATATCAAAGACGATGAAGCGCATTTCGATGTGAAATATGATAAATTAATCTTAGCTCCCGGATGCGAAACAAATACTTTTGGAACACCGGGAGTGAAGGAATTTGCTTTATTTATGAAAACAGTACCGGATGCGAGGAGACTGAGAGAAGGAATATTGGATTGTTTGGAACGAGCTTCTTTACCTACGATACTCGAGCAAGAAAAAAGGGACATGTTACATTTCGCCATTGTTGGAGGCGGACCCACCGGTATCGAATTGGCGGCTGAAATTGACGAATTGATTCAAGAACATCTTGGAGCAGTATATCCAAGACTAAAAGGATTGTGCACGATTAGTATCTACGACGTTGCAGATCGGCTACTTGGACAATTCGACGAAAAACTCAGCGAGTACGCCATGGAAAAATTCGAAAACAGAGGATGCGTCAAAGTGAAAACGGGAAAACACATCGAAGAAATAAAAAGACATAGTATGGCCGTCAAGGAAGAAGGTGAGGTTCCATTCGGAGTAGTAGTATGGGCGGTAGGCAACACAGCGGGAAAACTCGTCGAAGATTTGAAGTGCAGAAAGAGCGAAGGATTACAGAGAATTCTCACGGATAAATGGCTGAGAGTCCTCAAGCCGGATTCTGACGGTGTAGAAGGAGCAGGCGCAGATATTATCGAGAATGTCTACGCGCTCGGGGACGCAGCTGATATCCTCAATAACGAATTACCGACTACGGCGGAAGTTGCGGTGCAGAAAGCAAAATGGCTGAAACAACACCTCTTGGGAAATCCAGAAGAGCTGGGCAAACCATTTAGTTACGAACAGAAAGATTTAGTAGCGTATATAGGACGAGGTGATGGGGTCATACAGGGAAAGAAAGATTGGACGGGGGCGTCGGCCTGGTTGGCGTGGAGGAGTGGGAGTATTGCGTGGACGAGGGGATGGAGGAGGAGGGTTATGGTGGTGGTGAATTGGGTTGCCAATTGGGTTGATGGGAGGGAGATTGCTAGACGGTAGGGGTAATGGGTAGGAATGGGGGAAATAAGGAGGAGAGTGGGGAAGAGCGAAGATAGGGAGAAAGAAGCAAGGGGAGATGTGAGATTTCGATACTGTATAGTTTTAAACCGGGAGAGATGCATTGTATTGTATAATATCCATGCAAAAATAATTTCAAATGATCATTCTAAACACCCACTCTAACAAAATATTCCTCCAATCCATTAGCATCATTAAATCTGATCCGGAACCTACCCACAAGTCGCTACTCGATTCAAGACTTTGCCAGCCACCCCCGTCTCTGTGTCTATCATCGATTTAGCTCCCTCCTCCAATTTCACTTCAGACACTTGCTGGGTCGTCTCATAAGCACGTTATTACGTTACACATCCATATACAAGTAGACTGTGGGTATAGATATCTACCATTTCCTCACCTATATTTGTAGTCTACACTCTTATTATTCCAAACAATTCCCTCATCATACCTACACGTCACTTTTAAACAATATTCTTGAGTAGAAATAAAATGATATCACTTTTAGCAAAATGAAATGAAATTATTCTGAATCTATTTTGTAATTTTCTGTATTGGATCTCTAACAAATATCATTATCTCATTACTCAAAACATCAAGTTTTGTTTTATCGCTCGCATCATATATGCATTACTATTCTTTCTCCCATCTGAACTGTTGAGATCAATCCAGACAGTAGCCTAGATATCATAACTATCGCGCAGACCCGCGTTTTTATGACGTTTTACCATATCACCTCTACCCACATGCGTTCACCAAACCATGCCACATTAAAATCAAGTCCTCTACATCATGGCTGGCTGCTCTTATGCATCATACAAGTTTCCCTGGGAAGCATCGGACTCCGCATTTGTAGCCTCATCTTCCGCATCATCTGCAACCTCTTTGTCCTCCATGTCTTCATCTTTTTCATTTTCGAAGGGTTCTGCCTTCTCCGCCGCCAGTTCCTCATTTGGAGGTTCATTCATTTTCATTGAAGTATTCGATGGTGCACTCGTTGTTTTTTCACTGGTAATTTGTCCAAATTCTAGGGTTTCCCAAACTGATGGTGCAGGAGCAGATGGTCCAATACCACCGAATATACTAGCACTGGGCTGAGTAGCCTTGCGTTGTATGATAGCTGTTTTTTCCACCATTTCTTTTATTCTATCCTCTAAGTTGAGTGTTTGAGCAGGGCTATGGCTCTGGGTTTCATGTCTTCGTGAATGATTTGACGTGTATTTCGCCTCAATTCCTTGCATGGTCCCACGCTCTTCGCCTTGCTCTTCTTTATATTTTTCGGTTTCCTCTTTGCCATCTTCTTGTACTTCTGTCTCAGCCAATTCTCTCGAGACTTCCGATGGGGTAAACTCATTATGTCGATCATTTCCAGCCGATCTTGTCTTGATGGGCTTTGTGCGGAGAGATTCTGGATGATGTTCTTCGTTCTTTTGATCATTCTCATCTGTTTCCTCATCTTCGAGAAGAGGCTGTCCGGTCTCTGTAGTTAATCCGGATTGACTTCTCGTAGCAAAGCCAACGCCGCGAGCAGAATAGGATGATCCAGCCTCACCACTAGTAGAGGCATTAACAATCTGATGCGAAAGCATTAAACCATCAATCCAGCGACCTAGTCCCAGTTCTTGTTCATGAATCCGCTCCCGAAGTCCTCTCTTATAAGTTGCAAGAATGAAATTTGAAATCTCATACCCTAAGGTATGGCTTAAATTGCCTAATCGAACCACATTACGAGTAGTTTCACCGCCTGAAACTGAGTGTCTGCTTTCCGTCAATTGGGCTGGAACGGGCTCAAGAGTTCCTGATTCCGTCGTAGGGACCACATCCTTATATGCATCAATCAGAGAGCTGTTACGCTTTTCAAACGCATGTTGCGGGTAAGAAAGAGGAGCAAATTGTTCTGGACCTGGTAATTCACTACTCGCAATAGGGTAGAATCGAACATTTTTGATCCAGTCATATATCTTTCGGTCGTCGAGGATATTCTTCAGATGCGCGTGCTCTTCGCCGTTCATTGTGCTTCGTCTTGTCAAGATCACCTCCTCAATACTTCCGTTCAAAACCAAAGTCTCGACGTGTACAGGGCGGAGCTGACCGATGCGGTGAGATCTCTTGATAGCTTGTGCCTCAACTTGTGGTGAGAATACTGGGTTGACGAAGTATATTCTTGATGCTGCGCTCATATCCAAACCAAACGCGGCTTGATTCACATCCATGAGCATAACACGGAATCCAGCGACGGAGTTGAACTTTACAACACATTTTGAACGCTCAGAGGTTGAATCTCTCTTGGTGTATACTAAATGCTCGATGTTTACACATTTCAATGCCTGCGCAATGTAATATCCCACGTGTTCGGCCTCGTAAAATACAATTATCTTCTCATTTTCATGGTGAAGGAAAATCTGGTCCATGAGATATGAGAGTTTAGATGAAGCTGTGGATATGATAGTAGACTCTCTCCACATGGGGTTCTTCACTGAAGTTGAGATTTCGGGCCTTGCACTCGGTCTGTGATCTGTAAAGTGTGCTTGTGCTGTTCTGAATTCGACATGGTCTATATCAGCGTTTACTGCAATCCTGCGCATCAAATTCTCTCCAAAGTTGGTGAGTTTAGTTGTATCAAAGACAGATTCGGATGGATCGACGAGGCTACCACGACGATACGTATAAAACACCTCTTTGGCAGCACATATCATACTAGCGCCCATCAAGGTTGGATTCCCATCATGGTAGTCAAGTGCCCACGCACGCCTGATTTCTTCCGGTAGAGGATTCTGTACATACATGGCCATTTCATGTAGTTGACTAACGGCTGTGAATATGCCATTCGAAAGGGCTAGCTTTCCAGCTCGAATCGCTTCTTGCAAAAGCTTTTTGTCTTCAGGATTGATGTCATCCTTTGCAAGGAACTTCTCTGCGGTTTGAAGCGAGTTTTCAATCATTGCCTTGGTGTAACCTGACCAAGTGAAAGAAGCTTGTCGTAAGTTTGAAAACAAAGTAAGAAGCGCTCTCCTATTTTTCGGATGGAAGAAATAGTCTACACCTTCTCTTTCCGAGGTAACAGCATTTATGGTAATCATCATCGAAAATATATTCAACGACAACTTATCCTGAAAACATCCTTCGAGGGAAACGATTTTCTTGTTTAATGGGGGAAGTCTAAGTTGACCCGTAATGTCTCTTGCTGTATGTCGGATGATCATACTTTTCAAAGTAGACTTAAGAATTCCCGGATCGCCATGGATCTGTTGATTATATCGTGGTTTGATGACTAGATCTAGCCAAGATGCTTGATCACCTACCACAGCCGTGTTTGCCCATGGTCGAGCTTTAAGATATGACTTCAATATATTTCCAAGCTTCTCAAGGTCCTTAGTCTCTTGCATAATCGACACTCCTTTTGAGTTAGTGCAGCTTTTCTCTAGGGGCGTCTTGGCATTTTCTGGACCGAAAAACTTCGTGTCATTATTTCTGAGCTCACAAGCCCTCGAAAATTCGTCGTCTTTTCCATGAAGCCCGTTCGTCGGAGTTCCAGAAATAATCCAACGCGCATCAAGGTGCAAGAAGTCAACCATGATTATCGCATTTGACTGTCCGCTTTTCGTTACATTCCCGAAGCCATGTCCTTCATCAGTGATCAGGCGCTTGAAATGGAGATCTCGAAGTGGAGAACGATATTTAAAGGCTTCTGCCGGTGCATTTTCTGTAGATATCTCGCAAGCGCAGTTAAAAGCTTCCGGCCTTCCAAAACAGTGCTCGCAGGTAATGGTGCTCTGTGGGCATGTCAAAGTCTCCTCTGTAGCCTCCCTTTCAAATCTCCTTCTGCCAAATAAAATGATGTCGTACTTTGCCAACTCATGGGCGGCAGGTACTTGAATTTTCATATCATTTATAACCAAATAACTCAAGCTGGTGGTATGTTTCTCGATCTCTTGTATCCATTGGTGCACCAAGTTGGGTGGAACAACTACAAGTGTAGACTTTGCGAGCCAAATCTTCTTCTTAGTTGAGGCTATTGGACGACGTGTCTCGCGAGCTGGTGGGTCAGGCTCATACCAATAGTAGCCAATTCCTCTAGTTAAGGCGGCATGCATTTGGCTGAATCCAAGTTCTCCTTCGGACTCCATCTTTCCAAGGACTATCTCCCACGGAATTCCTTGTCTGCCGACGGTCGAAGCGCACATATCGAGAAGAGAACCCGTCTCTTTTCGCGTGGGAATAGAGTCAATGGAGTGCTCATCTGGCATTTGAGGTCTCAAATATTTTGTTGATAGGATCAGAGCTAAGCAGATTAGAGTCTTTCCTAGACCCATATCTTCTGCGCATATTCCACCCCTTGGAGCTTCGTAAAGGCGTGGCTCCCTCAAACAAACGTTCGCACTCAAATCACAGTAAAAGCTCTGTCCATACTGATCTTGTATTCTTCGAAGACGTGGATCCATAATGTATCCTGGCTGTGTTTCCCGCTGCAACATCATAGCAGCCGTTTGACATCTGTTAATGATTGATAAGTTAGTCCTTGCTGCTTCGGAGTGAGGGATGAGATAAAGATAAGATCAGGACATAGCCATGCTACAATCGAGTTCAAAAGAAGATTTGCTTGAAATGGTAACGCACAACTAAGTAGGGGGGGACGGCGGAAGGTAGGAGAACTTGTGAGCTGGCTACTTACTGATATGGATGCATTTGAGTATCTGGATTCAGCCCCTGGACATTACCTGTCAGGAGAGATCTCATCGCATCTTGTACATAACGATCTCCAACGATCACCCCTGGGTCTGGTTTTGGAGATGGTAGATTGTTAAACATGTCAAAGAGCGAGACGACATCTGTAAATTCTTTGTCATCCAACTCAGAGTTGATGTGCTGAATTGGTGTGTCATCTGACCATGTTCCTTGCCAAGCCGCATTTGAAACGTCTAACTTGTCTAGTAAGGCCTCCATGCCCTTACGAAGTTGCTTCATCGAACTGAAAGAAATTAGCACGAGTCTGGAACCAATGCAGTATCCAATAAACACTTACCGATCTAATACAGCATTTCCAATATCATCTGGTAGTATATAGACCCTTACTTGACCAGTATTCTTGTCTTTTGCCTTGAACTCCATTCTGATCCAACCAGCATTGTGTATTCCAGTGTACTCAGCAAGGGCAGCGGAACGAAGCAATTGACCTTGTACAGTATTTGGTAGATACAAGATACTTTGTTGGAAGTTGGTGATATCGGAAGGAAGGTAAAAAGCATGCCAACTTCGACACGTAAAAACTTCTTCCGTCAAGAGCGAACACCCGTGCTTATGTATTCGAATTGATCCTGCAGGGATATAGTTGGTAAGATCAGAGAAACATGAGTTTTTGGAAGCTGATATTGAGTCTCGAGATGGAGGTGGTAGTGCCGCGAAACTTGAATCCAATTTGATTTGTTGAGCCGCCCAATTTTTTTGATTTGGATCCTGTCCGACTGCGCCTTTCTTTACGTTACTCTATATAGTATGATTAGGAAGAACTCTTGGCATCAGATTATTCATTATCTTACCCAGATACTCTTCATTCCAATATATCTCTTGTTGTTAAAAGGATCATCACTGGTGGGAGTGGGAGGAGTCATGTTGGTTTTGGAAGATCGAAGCAACCTCGAAGAATCAGAGTACTTATAACACTGAAGTAATCCAAAGGGTTGAAGTCGCCAATGGATAATGCTTGATCTCAATATTAAAGAAGACCATACAATATCCGACCAAGTTCAACGAATTCAGAAAATGTGATGAAGACAGCAGCTTTAGGCAACACTATTAACTTAGTATCAAGCAAATAGTATGAATTGTTGTAGATTTAACAAGGTCATAAACCGGAAACAAATATAACAAAAAGTGTGCGATATCTATCAAGGACCAAGAATTGAAGGTTGAATGTTGATATCAGGAAAGTCGGGTATCAAGTTGAGAAAGTAATCAATATCAAGAAAGGGACTGCACAAGTTCGAGTGGCATGGCTTAGTGTGTGGAGGTTAAGACACTAAGACAGATTGGGAAGATCCCGACGTTCCGATGTTGATGTTGTCACGTTTGTTTGTCAGCATAATCAACTACATCTCATCACTCTTCAAAGTTCGTTTATGTTTGAAACTTGAAATATGGAAGATATGAGTTGGAAACAAATCATTTCAACTTCTGATAAGGGTTTCGATTGGTCTAGAGGTAGATATTCATGTACAACGGTGCATTGATGATGTATGTTAGCTGACCAAAGAACTAAAATATACCCCAGTCAAGCACTCAGCCCAGAGTTCTTACCATGGCCCCCATCAACAGACTCTCGAACATCCTCCCTGTTTTTGATAGCCTAATGAAGCTCGTCCCACCCAAACCTACACCAATCTCATAGTTTTTCAACGCAAATATACCTTCCTAGAAAGTCAGTTCATAACAGCCTGCTCACCTCAATGCTTCTCCCAACTCCTTCTCACAATTCACCTCTCATTATACCTCAAACTCTACAATTAGCCAGAGCCACCACCTTTTCTATAAGATCTGCAACCTCCCTAATCATGAAAACATTTGTCTCTCGGTGAGCGCAACAAGCATAATAAAATATAAGTTTCATTTTGCTACAGGCTCCTTGCATATAACAGGAATTCAGAAGTGAAAGCTAGATGTTAGAATCAAGTATTTCACAGGTGAAAGCTCCTTTCCTCAAAGATGCCATCATAAAGTTCTGTTTGCTAGATAGTCGAATATCACTAAGCCATGACTTTCAGTTCGAGAAAATGGTGATAGAATTGGAGAGGAAAGGAGCTTTTTGTGTGCTGCTTCTGGTCCTTTGTGAGATGTCTAAATGAACCAGTGGAGAATTTGTGTTGCTTTTAAGTATTGTATTTGAACCTCGGGGTCGTAGAATACGGAATATATGCATCTAAAACGTTCTTGTTATTGAAATAGAGAGAGGTCAGACCCGGGAATGTTGGTGGAATCCAGTTGGGAAGAGAGCCATGATGTCTGCTCATGTCAAATTACAAGCGGATTGATCAGAATATTGATCTCAAAGTTTGATATGGTGACCGTTCCACTAGCAGATCGTTGCCAAAATATCAATAGATAGCATCCAGTGTAGGCTTTCACCAAACAAACCTCGCTAGATCCTTCTAGCCCGAATCAAGCAGTCTCTCAGACCAATTTGACAACTTACGCAGCTCAGATCCAGATATACACAGGATTTTAAAAGTTAAAATTTGATAGCAAAATGTTCGTCGTATTCTAGTCTACCATAAAGAATGCTTGCTTCTAGACTTCATTGACATGTTTTTGAATCAAATACATCAAACAAAAACCTGAAAATCATGCCACTTCCTGCCAACTCCTCACCTAATAAATTCTCGCAACAAAGCAACTCCCTCCATCCCATTCCATCCCATCATAGCAAAAAACATACACTCTCACACCACACCAAACCCAGAACATCCTAAACCTACCTCCAACCATCCTATCCATCAACGCCCACGAAACCCCAAGCTCGAGCCACCAACCCTCTGCCCGGCCGAAGTTCCCCCATCTAATTACCGTCCCCAGTCACATATTCTTCATGTGACATCCACAGAATCACAAAAGATTTGTTGCATATCTGAAAAGTTGTTTAATCAACTACTCTGCCATTATTGAAAAAACAGCATTTTTTTTGGTTTTCGGGTTCGAATTTTGGTTATGCAACTTCATTCAACTTTATTCAACTTCAACTTTTTTCGTCTTGCCCGCCCAACTCCTTCATCTGAGAAGATTATGAAAGCTGCCACAACACTGATTTTTTAACTGATTATCTTGGTTTTTCTGACTATTTATATGTGTTAGAGGCTGCAGATTTATTGAATTTCTTTTACTCAGTTGTAGGTCAGTTTGTTGTTGTGAAAATAGATGTCACCGTGACACACATTATGCATGACTTGGAACCCCAAGTTTGCCCACCCCGAAATCTTTCTAGTCCGTATATTTTTTAGGGAATTGACATCTGGCCTCTACTAAGAGATGTAGAGTGTAAAGAACAACTTTTTTCTTGATCTAATGTCATTTTGATTCCAGTGTTCCTAATTTGTCCATGAGTGCAGGAGACTATGTCATGACAAGCGAATCAATCTTGAAGGTCATTAGATCATATCCCATATATAAAAGGCCTCTTTGCAATTATATGTGAGAAGGTGTTAATTGAGCTCTTTGAGTTTAAGGCATAGTTTCACAGGGATCTAGACTCTGGAGTAATCCTACATGTATATAGCTAGATACTCGGCTAGGTCTTCGTGGTAGATCTCTGATTTTGCTTTGCATTTTCACTATTAGCATTATTGGCATGACTCATCACTATATAGTTAAAGATTTAAGAGGGTTTTTAATAAAGAACGTATTGCTACTCTGACTAGCCTATTGACATAAGCTGAGGCTAGTCTTAGTTTCCCATGTTATTGAAATACAAACCCCATGTGCAAGACCTATTGGACTACACTAGCATCGTCTACCGGAATCAGTAGTTCCTCTGCTTCCTCTTGTTTCATGACAACGAGGTGTCTTTGTATTAAACCATATCAAGTACTTGTTTGCCAAATTTGTCATTTGTCAAGCCTTCCTCCGTCTACCACGGTTCCCCTTCAAAGATTTGCCTCAAACCTGTATACTTGTGCAGTGGCGTTCCATCCTTGCGGACTCCCAGATCAATCTCATCCATTCTTGGATATAGTTCGGGATACTCGGAAGTGCAAGAATAAGGACGTGCCTGAAAATGGTCTCGGCATCTCATCAGTAACACTGGAGTCGGTCTGATGTTTTTCCAGTACTTTAATGTTTCCTCTCCAGGCTTATCCCACGTGTCTTTCTCTGTGGTATTTATAAAGCGATCGAAGTTCTTCAATAGTTGTTTGCAACCCATGTCGATTCCTTTAAGACTTTCCAGTGCATCGTTTAAGTCTGGGCGCTGTCCCCGATTAGGTCAATATCGAAATTCCTCATTCAAGGATTGTTTCAATCTCGGAAAATCACAATCTAGATCCATACAGCCTTCACTAATATCAACGAGTTGCCTGTATTCGAGATTGGTCCAAGTAGCTGGACCCACACCGTAATCAATAACGAAATACAATGTGTTCAAAGCTGGACAGTGGATTCTGAGTGAGATATAGAACTTGGCTAGAATATGCATATATAATTGATCTGATTGATACTAAAAATCAACGTACAAAGCAAGATGTGTGATGTTATCTAGCGTCATGCGTCCTCCCACCATATCCAATGATATGAAGCTGGTAAAGCTCATTGAGAGAGTATCGACAGTCATTCGAAGATATCTGTAGCTATCAGAATGACTGCAACTCTGGAAGGTCGTGGAGGTTGGGAATTTCATCTCGATTTTCTCGTAATTCCGGAAGACCTCTGCATGTGAGTTCTTGCATGCAAGCAAGAGAGAGAGTAATGCGTGATGTTTGTTTTTGTCAAAGAAAACATCAGCATTCTCTTCTCATGCGGTAATCGGATGTCAAAGTCCCAATATATCAATTCTGGGTCTGGAAAGGCTTTTTTGAAGATCCGGCACTGGATTTCGACCGGGAACGAGGAAAACAATGGGAACTCGTCGAATTTTTCTGATGCTGCTTTTGAACATGCTGTCGTTGAGATGTTGTCGGCCATGTTGTTGTGTGTATATTTCAGATATGGCAAGTTAGAAGAGGGAGGTATCTGTCCTTGCGATGGATAATTTGTTGAAATGGCAAACTGTGCGTACGAAGCGATACGATGCTGTTGAGGTCAAATACAGCAAGTCTCAAGTAATCTCGATGATGGAAGATGTAGAAGAATTGCGTATGGTAAGAATCAGGTACTGATAAGAACTGCAGTAGCTGTACCGGTTTCGTTAATTTAACGAAATTTAATGTATAGTAGTGAATTCGTGGCACATGGGTGAGTGGAGTAGGGCAAGCTAGTGAATAATCATTCTAGAGGAATAAGATGGTTCGAGAGTTGCATCTGTCACCAGAGGTTATTCACCTCGCTTGGTAGAAGTTCTAACTAGGTATCAATGTGTGGTTGCAGAGAACAAATAGAATTGTAGATGCTTAGCGCATTTATTCCAAAATTAGGACTTTCAACGGATAAGTTAGTGCTATCTAGTAAAACCTAGGAAGTCAACCTTGTGAAAACACTTACTAATCCCAAGGCATACAAGATATACTTCTTCTTTACCAAAGTTTAGAGGTGATAACCCGGGAAAGTTCTGAGTATCATGATGGATCTAGGGCTGTGGGTCATTGATGGACAGAATGGGGGTTCAAATAAAAAGCGAAGCCAGCTTCTAGATTTCGAACACTTTGATATGTTGAATGTATGCCACTCGTCAGTAGAGTTAAAAACGACTGAAATAGGATACTAGAGCTCCGAAATCAAGACTCATTTCACTAAGAGTGAAAGCTTTTAGAGAAGAAATTATGTGAAGAAACATTTTATTATGTGAAATTGTCTAACTAGGTGCTTTGTTCATCTAGTCAGTTTTCCGCCCTTAAATTTATGGTCTTTCAATTCTCACATTGTTGCATCCTTCCCCTATTCCCAGCTGAGAAATTCTGTCGTCGATAGTCCTCAAATATTGAGCGGCTCTACCACGGTTCACCATCAAACATTTGAGTCAGCCCTTTGTATTTATGCACAGGGGTTCCGTCCTGATGGCATGCAATGTTGACGTTCAAGGTGGGCACCCAAAGCCAGGGTGATGTACCACTTTGTTCGAGCGTGCATGAATAAATATCCCTGCCACTTTCATCTTTAGTGATTAAGCACATCAGAGCCGTTACAGGCCTGCGAGTTTTCCAGTATTTTAGAGTTGCCTCTCCGGGTGTGGGCCAGGGATCACTTTCTTTCGTATTCAAAAACCGACTGAAGTCTCCAGCAATCATGTCCGCGTCTCCTTTGATGTCTTTCATTTGTAGCCGAAAGTACATTCTTTGCAGGTGCTTTTGTCGGTCGCGTAGACCCGGGGCGTACTTTACGCGCAAATCAAGATCCATCAATCCATCAATCCATCTGAAATATCCAGCATGCGAAGTAGATGCTTGCTTGATGGATACTCTATGCCTGAAGTTTCCGTCTTAACTATGAGCCACAGTTTTGAGAGAGCCGGACAATGGTTACTCAAGAACGTGTATAGCTTGGCTGCGTTGTTCATTCTGGCGCTCAAGATCGTACGAGGACAATACCACGATTCTAGAATTATATTGTTCAACGCCAACTGTGTGATACTCTCTATAGAGAAACTTCCGCCCATGTCATATAACTGCAACATCATTGTGGCTTCGACCAGAAGAATATCGGTGTGAGGCCGAAAGTAGCTGCGCTTGCACACATAGTCGTCAAACAAAAGCGGGTCATAACTTCAAATCTTTGAAATCTGCGAAAGATCTCTGCGTATGATTCTCTGCAAGCTAGTAGTAAACTATTCAGCTCATGATATGTAGGAGGAGTAATTTTAAATGCTCTATGATTTCCCTCTACATGGATAAATAAAAACAAATCGATGAACACCGGACCAGGTTGTGCTTCTTTGAGAATTCGGGCTTGGAGTTCGAATGGTAAGCGTGAGAATGGCCTGAACTCGATGAGGGCTTTTGATTCTTGCTGAGGCGTTGAGTTCATGATGGCGACTTTATGAAGATTTGTCGATAGGTATTTTATTTTTTGTGGAAGTGGCGACTTGAACTTTGGGGCCAATTGTTAGTCGAATGGGAGATGATATTCTAGAGACTGGGTATTATGTAGATGGTGTGTGAAGATGTTATGCCTATAAATCTTTCTGTGTGTTGTATCGAAGAAGCAATTGAAAGATTTTAGAACCTGCAAAGACGATGTATATATATATCAACATCGATGCAAGTACGGCGCAGTCGTATCTCGCCTAGAATGAGGGATGTACCGTAAAACAGGGCTAGCATGCATGGCAGGATTTCTTAAATGCGAGATTGATTCTTGAACAGGACGAATCTGGGTGAATCGAGCAGCTACAGTGAATTTGTAGAATGTATACGTTGGAAAAGACACCATTATCGTGAGCGTTGGATTGATCTGTCCTATAAGTCACAGTTCTTGGGGGAGGATACTGGTTGGATGATATGAAATCATGTGATACGCTACGTATAGATTTTGAAGCGCCCAAGTCTCCCTCTTCTCACACAATTTCCCACTTCTACTCTACCTTATGTCTATCTCAGGATTCCCATATCAGACTTGAGACCTCATAAAGATCATTGTGCCCATCACTCAGATACTTATACTGACATCGATATTGGCACAGGCTCAATCACCAGTTTCGGGCACAAGGCATGTGGTTTTGCATGTTTGCTGAACATAATCGCATGATAGAAGGTGTGCGATGCATATAGAGCCTGAATTCTTTAACAGGGGGTCCACTTGGGGCTGAGAGGGCACACTTCTTGAGTTCCATTTCACGTTTTTGTTTGGTACTTCTTCGCTTATGTGCTTTCGACTTTAGAACCTATGATTATACAGTCGAGCCTTTAGCCCATCAAAACCACTCTATAATGTATGGCCAGCCTGTTTGAGCTTAAATCACTGTATGTGATGTGGAATAAAGCCGAATTTTCGATTTTGTGGCTGGCGTCCCGAACCTCTTTCACTACTATATTACTTCGTACGTACCGAGAAAGCGCTTCAGGCATTCACTCTTACTTATTAGCACTTACCAAAAATCAGACAAATCTAGGATCAATACGGAACCTAGTAACGTAACAGAGTAGTCCGAGTGGAATTATTGCTTTTACAGATACGCAGTTTCCTAGCTTCCAGCTTCGAAGCTCAAACACTATAATCCTCCCCGCAGATGAAATACTACTTGTATCTTCTGAGTGACAGCTGCGGGTTGGTGGCTGAGGAAAGGGGTTGTTCTGTCACGTTATCTTGCAAGTAAACATTTAGGTCGGTCGAAGATACATTTCCATTTTAAATCTTACCGAGAATCTAGTTCCAGGCTACTGTTAGGGTTCAAGTGGATGAAGGACAGTGTGATGCTTTACACATAAAATAAAGTAAGTTTCTCTATCAGAGCTGATTAGTCTTCCTCCATTTTCTCCGGACTGCGTAACTCGCTTCTATCCCTTTCATTTTCCCTTTCCCTTTCCTTATCTATATCTCTATCTCTCGATCTCTCCCTATCCACACTCATATCATCTCTCGGGGTATCATTGCTATATCTCCTTTGCCTTTCCTCATCTCTATCATCTCTCTCCTCATTCCTGTAACCACCCATATCTTCATCTTCTCCATTTTCCTGCTTTACATGATTTGTGCCTTGCGATTCAAGATGTAGATTATCCAGTCTCGGGGACCCATCTTCATCACCCACATCGACCCATATTCGGACTGTCCCATCCAAACCAGCACTGGCAATTGCTCCATTTGGTCCAGGAGCAGTATCGACCCAACAAACGACGCCTTCATGTCCATGAACTTTCTGAATTAATTCCTTTGTGCTAACATCCCAGAAGAGAATATCTCCATCTTCACTACCCGAACTGATAAATCCTTGATTACCACTGAAACCAAAACTTCCACCCAATGAGTATTTATTATTAACGTGGCCTTGATATGTCTTTTTGCATGTTCCAGCTACATAGTCCCAAAGTCGTATGCATGAATCGAGTGTATGCGCCAGAATGTACCGGCCGTTGGGCGAGAATCGAACTGTAGTTACCGGCGCATTATCTTCGTGTACGAGAGTTCGAAGACATTGACCAGTTGCTGTATCCCATACTCGACTAAGAGAATATTAGTATTTTCGATACAAAATTATGAATGGCTAGCAAATGAACTTACATGAGCCCATCAGTAGAACAACTGCATACTAATGTTCCATCTCGGATGAAATCCACCGCACCAACCGGATCGGAATGCGCTGGCAAACTTCTCATTTGCCTTCTTGCCCGTAGATCCCACAAGAAGACTGCTTCATCATAACTTCCACTTGCGATTACATTCCCCTTTGGAGAAAAAGCGACCGAATAAACGTAATTATGATGACCAAGTAAAGGCGTGGGATATGGTTTACCAGTCGCTCGATCCCAAAGCCTAATGACCTTATCATCTGATCCTGAAGCTATAGTATTTGAATCCGGACTCCAAGCAATCGTCGATACACCTGCCAGATGACCTTCCATTGTTCGCAAATGTTTTCCCGTTTCCGCATCCCATATTTTAATTGTGCCATCTGCAGAACAACTAGCTATCCATCGACCATCGGGCGAATATCTTACTTGCGCAACTCCTTTGCGATGTCCCCGTAATATAAATTTGCATTTGTAGTTGAGTTTTAAAGGTTTATGAGAAGGTGTAGATGAGGATTGCGCCGAGCGATGTGAATCTTCAGAGGTAGATCTACTTCTTGATTGATTTGAATTTCGACGACTTCGAGTCCTTCGTGGACTTCGATGGCGGGGATCGGTATTGTCTAGTTCATCGGCGCTGCCATCACTAGAATATGGTCTCGATTGTCTGCGTGTTGAATCGCGACGCGTGCTCGCAGATGGTCGGGTTGCTTTATCATCTGCCAATTCATCCGGCGAACTATAACCCGGTGTAGAAACTTCGCTGTCGTATCTTCGACGTTTTGTTTGGTGTCTTTCTGCCATATTGAATGGAGTTGTAGCTATTTCATCGATGTCGGATATTATTTCGAGCTTTCGAGCTCTTGTCACATTAATGACGACTCAAATTAATTAAGCGCTGGCACATGGAGAAATTAAACGCGGTGCGCTTACCCTTGTATAGCATCGGCTGTTTTACCGGATGGGACCCATGAACCCCTGGTTTTGAGTCCTTGGTGTTGAGCCTAGAAACGTCATGAAGGTTAATTCAAGGGAAGGGACCGAACTGATAGGAAATGGTTCAAAACACCATAATAGCTACTCAATCCAGACATTGAACTGATTGTCCGAACTTTTTCTGCTTACTTGAGTTTGATTTCAATAGAATAGAGTGATAGAATTTATTGTATGCAACTGCAAGGGTCAAAATCTCAAAACGGAGTTCTTTAATTTCATTCCTTCAGCACTTCGCCGCTCCCGCTCCCGCCTCAGCAGATCTCCACGATATAAGACTTCTATTCTACCACTTCTCTCTCCCCAAAGCTTACGTCAATCGTTATGGACTCCCCATCACTACAAGTTAATGAGATCAATGTGATCACCCTCAATTGTTGGGGTCTCAAGTTTATCTCTACCCTACGGAATGAACGTCTTACGGAAATTGGGCAAGCCATTGGCTCTGCAAATCCTACACCCCATATAGTTGGTCTCCAGGAGTGTTGGACACAGGAAGATTACAAGAGCATACGAAAGGAAACGAAACATATTTTGCCTTATGGAAAGTTTTATCACAGTGGCATATTTGGAGGGGGGTTGGCAATTTTGTCCAAATGGCCAATCGAAGAGAGCTCGATGTTCAGGTATCCTCTCAATGGCCGGCCTACGGCATTTTTCAGAGGCGATTGGTTTGTTGGGAAGGGTGTTGCTGGTGCCAGAATACGATTTGGGCAAGGGCCGAAAGATATTGTCGAGGTTTTCACTACACATGCAAGTACTTTGAAGCTTTTTGCTCTGCTAAGCTAACGTACATAGCTCCACGCACCATACGAAACAGAACCAAACGATTCTTATATCTGCCACCGAACAGCACAAGCATGGGAAATAGCGAAACTTATGAGAGGTGCCGCAGAGCGTGGCCATTTAGTTCTTGGCCTAGGAGATTTCAATATGATACCATTATCCCTCGCCCATCGACTTATCAGCACACATTCGCCTGCTCGAGATGTCTGGATGGTCTTGCATCCTGACTGTTCTATCGGTGCGGCGATTGATGAAGTTGAAAAGGCTCGAAGACGTCCAATACCCACTGCTGAATTCAATCTATCGGAAAACGGTGCGACTTGCGATAGCGTATTAAATACTTGGCGTTGGAGTAAGGGAGAACAAAAACGTCTTGGTCCAAATCGTCCCGAGATTGAGATTGCAGGTGATACCCCTGATCCTCGTGCGAAACGACTAGACTATATTTTCGCCAACACATGTTTCGATGAAAACAATCCATCAGCAGGAGGATGGATAGTAAAAGATGCACGTGTTGGTATGTTGCAACGGCATTCAAAACATCAATGCTCTTTAAGTGATCATTTCTCCGTCGAAGCAACATTGGTACATACAAAATATGCATCACCAACCGAACAAACAATACAAAACAAATCCGCCGTTTCTAATGGTGTCTACCTCCAAACCGCCCCCTCGGAATCTCATCTCCTCAGCGCTCATACACAACTCAAAACTTCTTCATCACCACCCTACCTGCCCATCTCAACATATGATGAAATCATCGCCATGATTCATACCTACCGACTTCGAGAACGTCGTCAAAGACGTCTTCGTTTAGGTCATTTCGTCGCTTCGGTATTCATAAGTATAGGTTGTTTTGTAGCTGTTTGGTGGAGTCCTCGAAATTTCGTTGCCTTTATACTTATGCTATTGAGTAGTTTGGGACTTGGAGCGGGCGTTATTGATGGTTTAATTGGAGGACTTTTTGTAGGGAGTGAGATTAGAGCACTTAAGGAGTTTGAATGGGAAATTAGTAATGCAAGAGCGGCGGCTAATGGGGAACCCCTCGATCTCGCTGAGGAGGGTATTCAGGATTGGTAGTCCTTCCCCGTGAGAGGGATGAAGGGGAGGGGGAAGTGTTAATGTTTAATTGGTATAAAAAAAAACTGCGGGGATGTATTACTAGTAGATCATGATATAATCTGCGTATCTTTTATGCTGTCACGAGGAATTGTACTATACGAAAACGAGCATTCTTTCTTCAATGTACCTTGTTTTTCTTCTTTCCTCGCCGCAACTTCTTCATGGCATATACGAAATAGCAGTAACAATCTCAATATGGCCGAAGATGCATACTTCGCTCGCTCTTTCCTGCTTTTTACCTTCATGATATTACTTTTCCAGCACCCACCCACCTTCTGTGTTTGCTCTTCTCTTGTTACCCGATTTTTCATTTCATCTTGCTTGTCTGTTCTTCCCCCCCCCTCTTCATTTGTTTCCATAATATGATCTAGCATGGGATGAGCTGGTAAAAAAAACATCAAAACATCAAATACATCTTTGCATTCTTTCATTATCGTTTACTATCCGTACTTGTTAATCTTGGGAAACGAGACAGGCCAGATTTATCGAGATTGAAAGTACTACTTTTAGTTTGTGGCACAGTGCTTGTTACTTGGTGCGTGAATACTGGTATATCAATCTGGGACAAGTACCGGGAAAGATTGGACGAAGAGAAATTGTGCGCATAGATACGAAAATTGTCGGGGACGAGTTGACTGCGAGGTTTATTTGCGAGGAGGGCGAGGGGATTAGGGCGTTAGGAGGAGAGATCCAGATGTATTTGTTGTAAATTGTTAATTAGGGTTCTGGAAATAAGTGCGAGTGTTACGATCAGTATGAGTAGTCCGAGAAGGTTACCGTCTCCGACGGATGCGGAGCGTCTGGTTGGGATGGAGATGGAATTGGAACTTGAAAGACATGCGGAAGAGACAAGAGAGATGGAGAGAAGGGAGAGAGAGGAGAGGAGAATAGAAGTGAATGAGATGGATCGCGCTCGGAGGGAAGCGGAAAGCAGAATGATGGGGTGGAATCTGGGGGTGGGGATGGCATATAGGCATGGAGAAACTATTGGAAACAACATAGAGCCAGTGAATATAGACCATCTTTTGAGAGAAAGGACCCTGCAGGCTGAAAGAGGAAGACTTGGTCAAGGAGAACGTGCCGTGTGGCAGGAGAATGGGGAGACTAGGTACCAAGAAATGGCTCGCCAACAGAATCCATTAAGTCGTAGACGAGAAGAGAACAGGAGATTGGGAACTGCGGGCTTTTCATCAATGGAAATTGGTAGCCAAGAGGCAGAAGAAGAAACCCGTGGCGGTGGAGGCGGAAAGAAGCTTTTGCCCGAGAGACAGGAGACTGAAGAGGAACGAACAGAACGGCTCCGATTAAATGAAAAGTCAAGATAAAGCAACAACGGAGAGGAAAACAAGATAAGGAAATCATAAACGGGAACGATTCAGTTAAGAAGAGGAAGCTCGAACAGAAAAGGCTCAAAAGTAATGCACAAAAAAAACGAAAATATCAAGACAAAAGAAACTAGAGATTGAAATCATGAACGGGAATGATCCAATCAAAAAGATGGAGGTCGAACAGGCAAGGCTCATAAGGAATAGAAAGCAGAGAGAACGGGGCCAACGAGATAAATTGGGGAATGCAAAGTCCAAACCTGGAAAAAAACAGCAAGAGGCTGAAATCATGGAAGAGGATGATCTGTTGCTGCGTACGACAGTCAGATCGAAGATGTTTCGGAAAGAGAAGACCAACAACCGCTTCCAACAGAAGCCAAAAGAATGGCGAAAGGCACAAACTCAAGTGGAAGAGGACGAAGACAATGACGAAGATGAATCGGAGGAGGAACGGGAAGGCCATTGGCAAGAAGAGGAAGGTGATGAATAAGAGAAATAGTAGCGAGAACACAGAGTTTGAGAATTGAGAATTGATAGTCTAATAGCATTAGCATAACCCAACGAACTTAAGTTCAACAGCCTATAGAAGCTTTTATTTCTCTCCAATAACTGAATAATTATAAATTTAGTGCATGGTGCCATAAGATTGGATTCTGAGAAGTCTAATAGTGATCAATTCAACATGTAAGATGACTTAGGATACAAATGAACTCCAGAATATCCGCGCTTTCCACAATTCCTGTCATCATTCTGCTTGTAAATTTATTCCTATATTATATACTTCATTTGGGGTATCTATTATTACATATCACATACTACACACTCATCACTTACTACAACCACCCAACGTCAACGGTATCGCTTTTTCCTCCGCATACCTCCTCTCCTCCCTATTTCTCCTCTCCATCCAATCCACCACTCCCTCCTGCACCTTCCTATCATCACAATACGCACTCTGTACCGGTTTTCCCAGCACCTCATACAACGGCAACGCCCCCGTCCACACATCTTCTCGCTCCCCCAATCCTCCCCGCTCCAAACTCTCTACATTCCCAGTCCGGATTTTCGCCGACGCACTGCGCACAACGACTTTAATCACCTGCACCGATTTCATGGCTTCGGGCGCCACGGGATTAGTCTGTGACCAGCGACGACGAATCATGTGGTTTGTGAGGAGGTGCATGGCGTAGCTTTTTTCAGAGGCGGAAGTCACAGGTTCGGCGGTGCCGTGGATGATGCAGGAGCGGTAATTGAGGGAGTGGCCATTAGGGGTGAAGTGGAGGATTAGTCCGTCGACTAGGGCTTGTTAGTAGAGCATTTGTTTTGAACGGAGATAAATATAATATACCTTTGGTGCTACTGATTACAACTTTCATATTTCCTCCCTGTTTCGTCATCCGGTTTAACATCATGGCGGAATTCCCGTGGAGATATACATCGAATGGCCCTTCGCCAAAACTCTCCTGTTCTTGTACATACTGTTCCTCGTCTCCGTCATCTTCACAGATGGGTTTGTGGGGATCATAGTTTCCAGCCACAGCGGTCATTGGTAATGAAAAGGGTGATGGTTCTCCATCTTCATCTGGTACTATGAATGAAATTGTAGAGACGAATGTTTGAGAAAGAATTGAATGAACCGTGCGGTAATCATAATGTGCTTTGAGGGATTAGAATTCGTTTTGTAAAGAGGAGAGGGGTAATACCTCGTTTTTTGTATACTCTGATGGTGTTTTCTTTTAATTGAGGGTATTCCCCGGATTTTTGTTCGGGTGTTATGGAGCCCATGATTTTAGATGTGTGTTGTGGATATGGATGTGAAAGGCTACTTGATAACGAAGTGATACAATGAATTCGTAGACCGGATATTCTACTCAGGAAATCTCACAAGAAACACAGAATGCAAACACATGAAAATCATCAACTGTACAGTCCCCTTTATACCAAACAACATCCTCCAAGATGTCACCGCAAACCTCCTTAACGCTACCAAGTAAGGTAAGTCGACACGACCCCCTTTCCCAGGAAAGTGGACGCGAAGTTCCCTCACTATTCATCCGATTCAGGTCCCGTGCAAGGACCTTCCTATCCACCACCCCACCAATCTGATCATCGCTTTTCTTATCTGATCGATTGATCAAAATCCATTGGTTTCCATTCGACAATCGCATGCGGTTCCGGATGTGACGATTTCTTTCGAAGTTTGAGTTCGTGTGGAAGGTGGGTAAGTATGAAGTAGCTGTGCTGCGTATTTATGGGGAAGGGCGAGGCGTACAGGCGGTCTGTTCTTTTTGGGGAATCTTGACATGAATATAAATATGTATCTCATGGAAGTCGTGATATGTAGCTTTTGAAATCTGTTTTAAGTGTGTTCTATGCATTTTGTTTAACGTTGCACATCTTTTTCTTTCTCTTCAGATTTGGAAATTGGTCTTACTGTGATTGTGCAAATATTTGGGAAAACAATCCGGTTGACTTAAGAAAATAGAAGATCAGTGTCTTCCGTTTCTTCAACCATGACTCCCTCCATTGCAGAACTTTCCTCGTCTTCCTCGACTCCTGTCAATGAAGTTTCTGTGTCCACCACTTCCGGGCTCGCGGAAGAACAGCCCTCAAAAACCTCTACAGCTTCAACATGGCAAGCCATCGCTACTCGTCGCCAACAAGAGATTCTCTCTTCTATCCCCTCGGAATGGATTCTTCCAGCAGACCTCCTTAAATCTAAACGTCCTCTTGATTTAGTAAAAACATGTGGTTTACTAAATGAAAGAGAAGTAAAGATTGTGTATAGTACTGCGGTGGATTTGCTCGAGAGAATGAGAACGAGAGAGTGTACAGCTGTGGAAGTTACAACGGCGTTTTGTAAAGCGAGTGCTGTTGCTCATCAAGCGGTTTGTCTTCTATTTCTTTCCTCTAATTTCTGACTAGCCCCAATCTCAGTGATTGGGATTTCAAAGGGATTTCCGAACAGTATACGGAAAGGAAAAGAAGAAGAGAACAGAAAACTAAAAAAAAAAATAGACAAACTGTCTCGCCTGGACCATGTACCCCAGCGCCCTCTCCCACGCCGCCAAACTCGACGCCCACATGTCCCAAACCGGGACCCCCATCGGACCTCTCCACGGTCTTCCCATTTCCGTAAAAGAACACATCTACCTCATCGACACACCCTCCACATCCGGTTTCGTAGGCTGGGCCGATAACTTCTGCACTTCCCCCTCCCAAGAAGGAATGTGCATCCAAGTCCTTCGCAACAGCGGCGCAGTATTCCACGTCAAAACCACTAATCCCCAAGGTCTCATGGCTCTCGAAACACGCTCGAATCTCTATTCCACTACTACCAATCCCTTGAATACATTTCTCTCCCCCGGTGGTTCATCAGGTGGAGAATCCGCACTCATAGCAATGCACGGCTCGATTCTCGGAATCGGCACGGATATCGGAGGAAGTATTCGGAGTCCCGCGCTCAGCTGCGGTATCTACGGTCTCAAACCCAGTGTGGCTCGACTACCGCATTCCGGACTCTCGGGTGCACATGATGGCATGGAAAGTGTGATTGGGGTTGTGGGACCCATTGCTACGTGTTTGGCGGATGTGGAATTATTCTGTAAAACGCTTTTGGATGCGCAACCGTGGAGAGGAGAGGTTGGGTTACTTTCTATCCCATGGGGATGTCGCGAGAGTCTTGCTGCGGAGAAAGAAGAGAACAGGAAATTGAAAATCGGTATTATATATACCGATGGAGTACACACACCTCATCCACCCATCACCCGTGTTCTACACACCACAGAATCCACACTCAAAGAAGCAGGACACGAAATTATCCCCTTCCCCACACATCTCCATGCTCCTCTCATCTCTACAGTTGACGCAATGTATCTCCTCGACGGCGGCGCCGAATATCTCTCTCACCTCTCTCTCACCTCCGAACCTCCAACCTCCTTACTCCAATGGATTTTAGAAAAGAAAACCACGAAAAATCGCACCGTTCCCGAACAATGGAAACTACATAAGGAGAGAAATAGAATCCAAGACGAGTATGCGAAATTAATGTTAGAGACAGGGGTAGATTGTATTATCGCGCCAGGAGGAGTAACGGTAGCGAATGCGCATGAAGAGGCGAAGTATTGGGGGTATACGAGTGTGTTCAATGGATTGGATTTGCCAGTTGCTTGTTTGCCTGCTGGGGAGGTGGAGGACAGTGATGTGTGGGGTGATGCAGATGGAAATGAAAGTGGGAAAACGGATATGGAAGCTCTTTGGGGACCGGGGAATGAAGGGGCGCAGAAATATGAAGGAGGAAGTGTGGGATTGCAGATTGTTGGGAGGAGATTGGAGGAGGAAAAGCTGTTGAAAATGGTTAGGATAATTGAAAGGGATTTGGGATTATCTGGGTCGGATTAAAAAACATGTAGGATTTAGAGGCAATTTAAAAATGGAAATTAGAGACCAAAGAAAGGATATCTGAGTAATACAAATAATCTATAGAAGAATGAAAGTACTATCAAAAGTTCCCATGCCAACATTCCTAAAGGCTTAAACCTTCAATTTCCTACTCAATTCCCACACATTCATAATTCAAACCAAAAGTATACAACTCCCCATCTCCTTAATCGTCGCCGTACAATCAATCAATCTCCCCTCCCTCCTCTGCAACTCCCAACTCTTTTCCAAAATTCCAAACGCACTACTCGAGTTTCCAAAATCTCTTGAGTCCGTAACTGCACCTCTCGACGTTTCCCTAAAAAATTCCTGATCTTGTTTTGAGCTTGCCAAACAACCCGCCACACTCAGTGGCCACACTAATCCTCTAAACATTTGAGGATTGGGGATCATGCGCATGGCGTTTATAGTGTTGTGGAGCATCATATCGACATCTTCTGGAAGTAAGTCATCCGTAATGACCATTTGGAGATAGATGAGAGATGCGCAGGCAAAAATGTGGGTTATCAGGAGGATGGTATGTTTATTGTACAGTTCTGTGGAATAGAATGGTGGAGTGCCTCGATGAATTGACCTCAATGCGTGGAGTTTGTCTAGTGTCTCTGAATTTTTAGATTCAAGACGGCCTCGAATATTCTGTTCTGTGAAGATTAATTGTTGTTTAAAATCTATGGTAGAATCAGATTCGTGTTTTCGTCTCCAGGTTCCTAGCCAGGCGATCTCGCTAATCATTATCATAACCCAGTTTTCGCATCCCATGATGGAGGCTAGTTGAATTTTGTGGTCGGATTTGGAGGAGCCGGGTTTTTTGGCGGAGAGTAGTCGATTGTGGAATTCGGAAAGCCAAGGATGGGATCCGGTGGACACGCAGGCTCTATGAGTTTGGTGTTAGTAAAAATATAGAAATCAAATTTTGCGAATGACGCTCCGCTGGCCCTCCGGGAGCCATTGCCATGGAGACCGAATAATGTCACATGTACGACCGTCGAGCGCAGCGAGCTATGGGGGTTTGGGGGCTTGCCCCCATAATGTCACCCCTTATCAACCAAATACTTATTCGATTGATACAACAATCTGAGCAAGACAAGACCTTTGCTGTCTCTCCTCCTACCGCACTTCAATCTTTCCAGCATACAATCGAAATAAGGAAAAACAAGAACAATTCAGAAAACGATGAAAACCAAGAGAACTCACAGCGCATCCATCCAAATAATCGCCCCCGTAAAGAAATCCAACGCAGCACTATCCCTCGAAACCAAACTTTCACTCAGAATTGATTCCGGCGAGCCTGCTCCTGGAATATTGAAACATTGAGATGAAGTCAAGAGTGTTTCTGGACCTGGTATACTACCATTTGAAACTTCGTGAAGAACTAATATGAGTTCTGATGCTGCTCTGAGATGGACTTGCCAATTGCTTACACCACCGTTGAAAAGCTTTGGGGGTTGGTTAGTGATTCGATTGTGGTTCGCGGTGAATTATGGAGGAGAGGGATGCTCACCTCGAAGGATATTAATTGGATCATACAAGCTAGAATTTGGATATTTCCATCAAAAGCCCCTTGCTCAGATGCATTTTTATTATTTGTTTGGATGAAATCTTGCAATCCTTTCAGTGCCAGATCATAATGATGTTGTAGCTCATGCAGATAATCTATTTCCGCTTGACCACTCTCTTGTTCCAAAAGGAGAGATTGACGATGGAAAGCACTCAGACTTAGAGCTGCATGATAAAGAGGTTTTGTTTTTGTTAACAATGACAATAGCCATCCTCTTCCCGATGATAATGATGGGGTGTGAAACCGGAATTGGATGAAAAAGACATGATCAAGGTAATGCATCATCAAACTTGCTTCTTGGTCTTCGATCCATTTTGGGAATAACGGAGACCTGGGTTCAATGGGTTTATTATTGTCCATTTCAATAGGTGGTGTAGATATTGAAACAACATTGTCGATACTTGGTAAATTGTCTCCTTTCTTAGCGATTTTCGTCGTAGTAGTACTAATATTAGGTGATTGTGGCGATTTGGGCACCGAGGATATAGAACCCGTGTTTTTCCTCGCACGAAAAGCGGCTCTCTTTTTACTTGCAGACGCAGCAACAATAGCTTTAATTTTCTCCAACTCTTCTTTTGCAAACTTTGGATCATCGATCCATTTTGGTTTGGGGCCATAGTGACATTCTACATTAACATCCTTACATCTCGAACAACCTATGAGAATCGAATATTAATTCTTTTTCTTCGGCAAGCAAAAACTAATCATGACTAACCGGGTTGTATTTCATCACATTTCTTTTTCCGAATTCTACAAGTCCAACAACCTCGATTACTTCGGACTGCGATTGGTGAATCGACATTAGAGCCGGAAGTGTTATCCATCGAGGACGGGAGGAAGGGAATGGTGTTGAGCTGAAGCGGACACTTGCATAAATGATTACCTGATACACATTGTTGTACGAAAATAGAATCTAATATCGTGATTATAGACTCGTGACTCTTCGTACTGTATGGCTAGTATAATCCACGACACCTTTGGATATCGTATCGTCGAATCAGACGAGGAATTAGCGATATATGAGTGTGAGCTAATCTCCTCAAATAACATTCATTGTATGTCGGGTAGACAATACATGTGAATTTGATTGCAATGAGGCGTGTGTGTGAGAGTGTGTGTTATTGAGAATGGAGGAATGGTTGAGTTCTCAAGAAGAAAAGTAACTGGAGACGAGAAAACTTCACATCGGCTCGACTTACTCAAAAAGGAAAGTATTTTCAATCCATTTTCGATTCATGCAAACTGCCAACTATACATAAAATCCACACAAGCTGACAAGCCCGAGTGGCAGTTTCTTATCATTCTTATCGGGTAAAGTTAATATCGCGAGTTTTACGGGTGAAACAACGACCAAACAAACGTTCAAAGATATCTTGGCTTAGACAGAATACAAATCTCCTCTATAACTCCAAGATGCAGATAGATGCCCGAGAGCAAAGACGAACAAGTGAATCTTATTGGGAGATCTATATGCTTATCTATCATTCAACCACTCGCACTTCCCGGATGAAAGACGGTCTTTCCTAATCTGTCTTGATTAGCATCACCTCAGTATAATTGGTGAGTATGAATCATAATAGGTAAACATAGTAGGTTCAGCTCTTTAATATTGAAGCTGTCTCATATCATTCCAAAGGACGATCATGCAAGCCTCAAGCAATATAACGACGTTAAGGTTACCAAATTTTCTCAATATTTTGAACATCTCCATTTGATCAATTTTCGAGATGTTATTGCATTCAATTCTACAATGACGTCTAAAAAGGGAACAACGTCCATAATTACCCCAAGTCAATCTCAAGGATACTCACTACTAAAATTCTATTCAGCTCTCTTCCTTGGCACTTTCATTCTTACCATATGGCACTATGGAATCCCCTCACAACTAATATCCCCTGCAAACCTCGAATTAAATCATCTAACCCCAGTGATCGCAAAAACAGGTTGGCAATGGAAAAATGTATGTTCCTCATCCACATAAGCTTAAAGTCCATATTCTCATATCTCCAGGTCGAACCAAGCGAATCCCTTATCTGGCATACTTGCTATTCAAGTTTTCAATGTGCTCGTCTTTCCCTACCACTAGACTGGCTTAATACTTCCAACCCTTCCAGAATCTCCCTCGCAATCATCAAAATCCCCGCAACAGATCTGACCAACTACCTTGGTCCCGTCTTCACTAATCCCGGAGGACCAGGCGGCTCAGGAATTTTTTCTCTGCGCAGAAATGGACACAATCTCCAAAAAATCGTCGGTAAAAACCACGATATCATATCTTTCGATCCTCGAGGTATAGGGGCCTCGACACCTGTCATTAATTGTTGGGGTTCTGCACGTCAGAATTCAAAGATCTGGAAATTAAGTGATGTAGGAGTGGTGGACTCACATCCGGGGATTCTTGATGATGCATATGCGAGAGCAAGTGCTCTTTCGAAAACTTGCGAGGAAAATATGGAACGAGAAGCTAAAGCCAGAGGAGAGGAATCGTTGTTGAATTTTGTGAGTACGACAAGTGTGGCACGTGATATGCTTGAGATTATGAGGGAGACAGGCACGGAAAAGTTGAGGTATTGGGGGTTTAGTTATGGGACTTTTTTGGGTGGTGTGTTTGCGGCTATGTATCCGGATTTGGTGGAGAGGATGGTTAGTGATGGTATGTATTTTGTGAAATAGTTTTCCTGCCCAGATTCTTTTTCTGCTCTCTTCTTCTCCCAGATACTCCCCAATTCTCCCAAAACTCTACTTCTTCCTGCTCTGGGATTCGGAGAAGAACAAAAAGACCGTATGATACGCTCTTCTTTTTAAAGCATAGCCATCGAAATACACCCCATAAAAGAATTCCCCAATACTAACCCCAACCAGGCAACGTAAACTACAACGAATGGTCAACAAACACTCACACCTCTTTCCTCCACGACTCCGAAAAAATCATGTCAGCATTCTACCACTATTGCCACCTATCCGGCCCTACCATCTGCGCCTTCTACTCCCCCACCCCCTCCCAAATCTCCACTCGCCTAGCCACTCTCCTCTCCAACCTAAAAATCCATCCTATCCTCGTCCCCCCTCAAGACCCCTCCTCCCTCCCAGAACTAATAACCTACTCCTCCCTCAAACGTCTCATCTCCGCCTCCCTCTACCGCCCCATCCTCCTCTTCCCCTCCCTAGCTACCGTCCTCCAAGCCCTCGAAACCGGCAACGGCATCCCCTTCATCGACCTCACCTCCACCTTTGGCATGCGCGAAATCTTCACCTGCGACTGTCCCCGCGATTCCTGCAGCGATCTTCCCTCTCCCATCGACGACGACGACTCAGATTCCGAAGCCACCGCCGACGCTAGCGCAGCCATAATGTGCACCGATGGCGGTCCTCTCCCCCCTAGTCTCTCCGCCTTCAAAACCTACGCTACAAACCTCATTGCCTCCGCCCCCGCTGCCGGCGCCGTCGGCGTCGAATTCAGACTTAGCTGTGTAGGTCGCACCGTCCCCGCGAAATGGCGGTTTGCAGGCCCCTTTGAGGGGAATACATCGCATCCGATTCTGTATATAGCGAATTCGGCGGATAACGTAACGCCATTGGTTAGTGCGAGGAGGAATGCAGAGGGGTTTGTGGGAGCGAGGGTTTTGGTGCAGGATTCGTACGGGCATACGAGTTTGAGTGCGGGGTCGGGGTGTACGGCGGGGGTGGTAAGGGGGTATTTTCAAGATGGGAGATTGCCTGAGGAGGGGAAGGTGTGTGGGGTTGAGGGTGTGCCTTTTGGGGGTGGGGAGATGGGGGGGATAGAGGGATTTGGGGAGAGCAAGGGTGTAGAGGGGGGAGAGGACAGTGATAGAGAAGTTAGAGAAGCGGCGTGGGAATTAATGATGAATACGGATATGAGATTTGGGAGAGGAGGCATATAATGTTATTTTGAGTTTGAGCGCATATTTGAGATGAAGATGAAGATGAAGATTAAGATGCAGAATAGAGAAGAGAAGAGAAGAACATAAGAATAAAATATTAGTACACGCGAACAACCATATCAATAGGAAAACATCAAGCCATTTTTCAAAGTTCGTATGGGAAATAATGGAGATGAATGCTAATCAATAAGTCACTAATCTCTCAAATAATCAACAAGAAAGTGAAAGAAAGAAAGAGGAAATCTGAATATTAGTATAAGTATTGTGCATGTAATTAGATAGACAATATATGTAGAATACACGACATATGACGCAAAACCCAAACATAATAAATACGAAATACGTAATATCAAATATGCAAATAAAGGAGACGAAGACACGAAAATGTGAAAACAGGAGAAGAGGAAGAAGAATCAAGTAAAAGAACTCGAGCGTAGCGAGCAAAGGGGGTTTGGGGGCAAGCCCCCATATTATCACGGCTAGAAATTAACACAATCGTTCATTCGAGTAGAACCCTCGATTTGTAACTATCTCTCAATCTGTCGAATTGACATCCTGTGTCAAGTCTCAATTAGTCAGTCAGTTGAAGATGAAAGAAAGAAAGATGATGTTATAGCGGCTGCTGAATATATTTTTGAAGTTTGTGGATGGAAGGATTCTTGGTAAGAAGGATGGATCTTTGAGAATGCTATCAATAACTCGTTGGGAATTATTTGCTTATTTTTATGAGATGAGGGAGGTGGAGATTTGAAATTTATATTATTGGTTAGATGGTAGTTAGTTTGGTTCATTTGGTTAATTAGATCAATTTGGTTAGGTTGTGTGTAGCTGGAGATAGTTAATTTGAGATTCTGAGATTTATGTCATGTATGATGTATTGTTAAGTAAGGGGGTGGGTGGGTAGGTAGAGGAGTGAATGGGTGAGTATTGAGGGGAGAGATAGGTACATAATAATGATCTATTGCGTATATATAAAAGTCTATACACAAATACAAAACTCAAATCGCACATCACACATCACACCAGTCATAAAAATGAGTCTGGAGACTTTTAACTTTGAAAAGGATTTAGAAATTTCAATATATTCATCAGTCCATTGATCGTCTTCTACACACAGGATGCAGATTTCAAAAATCGGAATGTAATCCTCAAGACCTCCTCGAGTATTGCTATTTTACTACCACTACCTAGATCCCAGATATCTAACTATACCCTTCTTCCCCCTTTCTACCTCCCCGCTTCTCTCACACAAAGATGCTCACAGCTCAATACAACCATGCAATTCCACATCGCTTCGCATCTCATCTCATCTCCTCATCATCTCATAACACCGCATTCATTAATCCATTCATTCGTTTATGCAGCATACCATTCATTAAGTGTATCATATCATACCATATCATACCATACGCCATTACCTGTTTCCTTCTTTCTTTCTTTCAAAAAGAAGAAATCAAAATCAGAATCAGAAATATTCATCCATTTCCCTTTCCCATTTCCCAAACCCATTTTTCAACACCCCAGCACCAGTACCTTTGCACCAGTTTGCAAGAAATGCTATGCTATGCTATGCTATGCAATCTTATGAACATGATATGAAAATGGCATGACATGACGTATCATATCAAGTCCACTACAATCAACCGCGAAAGCACAAATTTCCCAAAGATCCCCGAACGCACTCCACCCGTGAATACATTCTATCCAGCCAACCAAACCCATGGAATTATCCGATACAAAGAAAGAGTCGATTGAGAACGATCAAGCCAAATACTTATAAGTAGGTACTTTGGCATCTTCAATTCTTTCCAAATATTCTCTTTCAATCAAACTTTCAATACGTCGTTTCATCATATTGATATTAGGCTGGAAGCGTTGTGAAAGTTGTGAGATGACTTCTGTAACGAGTTGTTGATGAGGAC